TCAGGCTCTTCTTGAACGCGTCGCAAACTGCCGGAAGAAAGTCCTCCTTTGTGATATGCGAAATCCGGGCTTGGATGAGCTTCTCAATTTGCGAGCCGTAGGCCTTTTTTAACGGCGCAAAACATGCCACATCTAGTGTCTGGAGGATATAAGAAGAGTTGGCAGGCATAAAAAGTATAATAATCTTATTCTCTTTGCAATATTGCTCAAAGGCGTCGCAATGGTGGCTTTCGTGGCCGTCCAGGATAAGAAGGCGATATACACCCGATTTCCGGCCTTTGGTGTATTTGTCAAAGTGTTTTAGCCAATCTGCGGTCAATTCGTTCGTAATCTAACCATTTGGGCTCACGGCGATCCTCCAGTCCTTCGGCAACGCGTCGTTTTCGTACCAGGAAGAGAGGTGGTATTGGCCCTTGACAATGATGTATGGCGGGACCGTCCAGCCTTGGGAATTGACGCCCTGGATCACCGTAGCCCATTCCCGATTGCCAGGCTGGGCTAGCTTAGGTTTGCCTTTCCTTTCAGAGCTCGTAACAACCATCGATGCGGTAATCTGACCTATCATAAAGCCGGTCTCGTCGAAATTGTAGATATCGGCATCGGCGATCCCATATTTCGCAATTGTATTGCGCACAAGGTCAAACCAGCCTTGAATAAGCTCTGGATCTTCGCATAAGGCCCGAGAATAGTCGTATTTACGGCTGAATACCGTCTTGAGCTGTGGTTGTCGCTTAACGAAGTTGGAGGCCTAGTTCTTGCCGACGCGTAACGCGTCGCGGTCGCGTAGCAGTCGGTTTGCTATATCTTTAATAGCACTTAGCCGGGGAGGAAATGCTTGCGAATCTAGCTCAATCATCCTTTGAATAATCGTATTTTCTTCTAGTTTTATTAAATTCCGACCGTTGGCTTCGATATTGCGATGTGATTGACGTTTTTGAAGACGCGCCTGGAGAGTAGTATTCGAGACTTTGTAGATTGTTGCAGCACGTCGGATACTAAGTGTTGAGTCATTTCTGATAGCCTGAGTTGCAAGGAGTAATTGAGATTCTTTTTGAGCAGAATCCATCGAGAATTAGTTGCGTGGTAAAGTTAGGAAGTTTAGTTCTAGTTTTTGCTATGGGCGTGACCCGTCGGTTGGGTGACCCGTTCGCTTGTGGACTACGTTATATATATATGTAGCAAAAACATACAACACCAGGGATTCGCTGGTGGTCACCCACCCAACTACTAATCTAGCGGTGTGCAGTTTATCTAGAGGAGAGCAGACGGGATCCCGAGTTATCTACAGCCTATGGTCGTATGTACTAGATTTGGATGCCACTAGGGCTTATGTAGAATAAGACCCCCCTTTAAGCTCAGATAAAACATGCATAATATCATGGAGGATTGTGATCTTGATTGAGCTAAGTTAACCTCCGTCAGGTGTAACGGTAGAATGTTACCTATCTAAGTAGTGTACATTGTTACGGAGTAGCTAGGGCTCCGCCAGTGGACTGTGTGCCACTAGTCCTCTGTTATAATATAGCGATCAATATCAAAGCATAGCTAAAACTAAGTGTACCACAAAATGCAACATTGGGCAACTAACAATAAGAACTCTAGCGAGGTCAATAATAGTCCCCAAACGACTGAGAAAAAACATATACATATGTAGCAAAAACATACAACACCAAGGATTCGCTGGTGGTCACCCACCCAACTACTAACCTAGCGGTTTGCAGCTTGTCTATGGGAGAGCGGACGGGATCCAGAATTCTCTGCAGCCTATGGTCGTATGTGTTAGAATGTAGTGTTAGTGAAGCTTATGTAGAACTAGAGCCTCCCTTGAGCTCAGATAGAAACACCTAGAACAAGGGCGATAGATATCCAAGCACGGCTAAAATTAATTATACTACAAAACATAACGTCAAGCCTCATCTTGACGCGCATGCTACCCCTGTTAAATCATCCAGGCCAACTTTAGCTCTGATGAGGACGGAAGATACGCAAGGTTGCTTCCAAGTCATCCAAGCAAGTTAGGAGAGAACAAGTGATCTCTAGTCCCCAACCATAGCCGACAAGCGAACTTTTGGTTACTGTCATGAAGTCTGTCCATCAAGGAACAAGATGTTGTTCAAGCATCCAGAAACATGCTTAGCCACGTTGTCGTCGTCACTGTTCGGCAGGTCTACAACTTCAATTTGTTCTGCCCGCTTGCCATGGGTATCGCCCATGTTGGGTGTCTTCGAAAACCTAGGCTCGACTGAGGCGACCTTTTCTTGCCGGTATTAACTGGTAGTACGGAGAGCTCGAGATGCGGGCGTACGGAAGACGGGGTCGCTTCTTAATTATGCTTAGGTTCTACTCGGCCGTAAGGAGATATTATACTATCGGAACGTTCTTGGTTGGTAATGAGCGATCGAGCTTTGAGGGATATTTGCGATGGGCGGGCTCGGTTGCGGTGACGACGGGTACACTGCTTGCTATGGAGGGAGAGGGTCGAGACGACGGGTCAGGGGCAGTAGCGTAGAGCGTCAGGCACTCGACTCCCTCGGCGTTTATCGGCAGTTTCCAAGGGTGGTGATATCTCGCCAGTTGTGCTTTCTAGGCGCCGATACTGTCGATCTCATCCATCTCTATCTCTACCGCATCATACAATCCGGGCTTGGGTGGACAGACGTAGATATGCGGGTCCTCGTCAGAACGGAATTAGCTGTGAACGCAAAGCTGAGTTCGGTTACAGTCGTACGCAACGGGGAATTGTCTGTAGGGACGTCGTAACTGAAGTATTCGAGTAGGGTAATTGGGAATAGAGTCGTCAAGGCAGTTTGCCTCACCAATGGGTTAGATTGATGCTTAGATTGATCACTGAAGTAGATACTGTCTATCTATGAAATGCCTGGGAGTCCTGTCCCTTATATATCCATTCCCTCCTTCACTGGTAAATGGGGCCATTAGATCCTTCATGGATACTATTAGTCCTAACTGGATATGTTGGATCATTTCATATCCAAATGATCCACCCAAGTCACGTGGCTTGTGATCCTCGCACTAGCTGGCTCCTCCTGCAGCTAGCTACTCCTGTGTGACTTTCCCCTCCTTCTTTGTCCTGTATCCACTGGGCCTGCCATCGGGCCTGTTGCGTTGGTTAGAATCGTAGATTCGTAACATAAAGCAGTGTCGAAGTCGGGGTTTGAGGCTCAAGGACAAATAAAGATAAAATATGATGTCGGAGGTCGACAGGAACCCTATTAGTTATAGGGAGAAGAGGCGAATAGATTACTGTGCCGTGGTTGAGAGGTAACGAATGGATGAAGCGGATGGTATTGCTTGTTGAATCTGGTGTGGAGTGGGCTGTTAGACAGAGGGATAACTCAACTTCAACCCACGCATGTGCCTCCAAAAGCAAGAGGATTGCATTGAATGCTTTAAACTACTTGTGTTATTGGTTGATAGCCCCACCTGGCACTTAGCGGTCACATTTACCATCGTCTGGACGTCTTTTGGAGCCTCTCACTTACATTTCCAGTTGTCTACATGGATAGTTTCTATCTCCGAGAAGCTTGCCTAACAGCTGTAGTCACGAAACACCCATTCCATCAAGTTTATAGTCCTAATCATTGGCGGACACTCTCGAGTACAACGACTTTTTAGGGTTTAATGAGAGCGGGGATGGAATCCATCGATTAAACAGTGCCTGTGTTTTGTGGAAATGCAATATGAAAGATTCCGGCGTTGACTTACTCGTGAGTTGGACAATCATATCATTGCGTACAGCCAGGTGCAGTCCATGATCAATTCCTTTTGAGGGAAAAAGTTAAAGCAATCTACGACAAGGAGTAGTCAACAAGAATGTATCCAATACTCGGCCGTTTTCCTGTCCAGCTACAAAGGTCGACAGAGGAAATGCGCCAACCGATACAACAGACGGTAAGGGACCAACGATTGGAAGGCACGACGATATCTCTCAGACTTGCTGAAAAGGTCATCGATGGACACCCGTGACTCGACCTGCGAGGCGGAAACTCGATCCGTGCAATATAGTTTGTACCCTCCGTACGACGTTTAGGCGTTTCGATCTCAGTCGCCAAGACTTTTCATAACACAGCCTTTAAGCAACTGGTTAGCATAGCTATTTTGACTACTGAGGACAATCAGCACCCCATGCCGCCTTTCTTGTCAAAACGAGCGAGGAAAGGGAGGCTACTGTGAAAGAAGCAATCGTACAATCCGGCATTCAATCAACGAACACCGAAGAAACCCTGCCTACTACCAGATTTATATGAAGGCCAAAAAAGAGATGTTTTTTTTCTTTTCTTCTATGATGGTTACTTCTGGTTTTGGGGCGGGGTTTTGTAGCCCTGTACTTGGCCGTACCTTCCCACCTCTACCCTAGTTCAGGCGGAATCCATGGCTTCATCTCTGAAGAAAAGCAATGCCTGGGTGGCCCAAAATCAATATTCTATCCCGGAAACGGTGCCTATTGAACAGTTCCAGTCCATGTGGGAGCAACTCCACGACAGCTACAAGATCTTGCGTCCTCACATTGTCCACTCGGACGTACATGGCACTTACCAAGTTGTCATCAAGTTGCCCCTGAGATGGATCGAGTCCAACGATCTCAAGGATTATGTGTGGACCGATCGCAATGTTCCAATGGGAATGGCGACCCATTAGTGCGGTACACCATGATCAAAACGGCACCAGGTACGACCGCGATACAGCCCACGATGGTCTTCTCAATCCACCACGCATTCTACGACGGCTTCACTCTGCGGAAGCTCCTGTGTGCGATGGATCATATCCTGACTGAGTAGGGCATCCACCCGCGCCCTCGTTTACCCCTTTCATCAAATGCCTAATCATGGTCGACCAAGGAGCTGAAATTCCTTCTGGCAGTTATTTCTCACGCTAGTGTGGCGAAAGTGTTTCCAGCATTGCTAATTCCTACTTATACACAAAATGTCGACCCAACTAAACTGTTCCGCATCGGCATCCCTGCGGACAGAGCCTGACTTAGCATGCCCACCGTCATCCTAGCCACATGGGCAATTCTGACCAGCGACAACTTTAAAGACGACGTTGTTTTCCATGTTAAGCTCTCCAGCCATAGCACACCAGCTGACTTCCTCGTTGGCATACTCGAGCCAACTATCGATGAAGTTTCCGTCCGAATAAAACTGGTCCGAAAGCAGCCCATCGGCGAGTTCCTGCGAAAGCTCCAAGCCCAGCATTCATATATCATAGCCTACGAGCAAGCTGATCTCAACGAGATGACGTAAGTCGAAGCATGTAGAACAAGCTATTTGTTCTAGAGCATGTTGGTCATCTGCGAACGCCACCGTCCCGACATGGAAATGCGTTTAGGAACGCATGAAGACATTGAGGAGTACAAGTACTTCAACAACCGTGCACTCCTACTTGACGGATTTTCCCCTACAACAGGCGAAGAGGCGCAGTTGGTCTTCAGCTACGATGCTAATGTCGTGGAAGATGAACAATCAGGTGATAGACTTTGGAAAACGCGTCGAAAGCCTGATATATGCCATGGCAGCAGGCGACGCCGCGGCGGAACTTGTCAGCGTCCTGAAGGTTATTAGAATTGGGTGCAGGACTAACGCCTCCAAGTCGAGCCCTAAAGAGTGTCCATATATGAGTAGCATTGGGAATTCAGACCAGGGGAGGCGCAACATTACGAGCGGGGTTTTGTGGTGATTTGGCTTTGGCTACTCGTGAGCGAAGATTGAGTTGGAGGCTTCTGCTCAACTGAGATTGAGAGTAGGCCACACGCTACTGGATGTCACCAGTGAGGCTGTGGATGGGGGAATCAATTCGTACACTCAACATATCATGGGCCCTATAGCTAGCTGAGGATGGGCCCGTGGAAACATCTACCATCGGCTCCGAAGTGAGATGGGGCAACTGCCTTGTGCTTGCCTATTAAAACAAGAAGGGGTCGAAATCATCAGCATCGAGGCCAGGGAAGGCGTCAAACGTATCGTCCAGGTCGAAGAAGATGTCTATTGGCAGTTAGTCACGATTTACGAGGCAAGGAACAAGTCGAGCAATATACCGTCATCCCACTCGTCGGCCAGTTCCTCGTCCGAATCCTCAAGCACGTGGACAAAAGCCCGGGAAGCCAGATTCTTAACCTTATCCATGGTGTCAAGTCCCTTGAACGTTATGGTTTGTGCTTTATACATATTCTCGGGCTTTTTCTCTTCCTCGAAGATGATGTTGCCTGGTCCTGAGCACGTGTACTGCTCGGCACCGCAAACGGTAAAGGACTGAAGCTGGACACCAGACTTGGCGAGGTTGCGCAGGAAAGATGACCACAGATTGGGCATGGGTAAATCAAGATCCTTTGCATGACGATGTGGGAAATCCGAGATGATGACGAACTCGAGGTTCAAGGTGTGCAACGTGGGCTTGAACTTGGTGATGAGCCCGAGAAGGACTTCGGAGCATAGGGTTGAATCGTTCAGGTGCAGCTCCTGAAGGTGCGGGAAGGTGGCTGGAGTGGGTGCATCCGGTTCGACTTTGGCCGTCAGGGGGGCTCCTAGCCACTGCATGAAATCATCGGGACCAAAGACATTTTCCCTGAATCGGGGTACGACGGATAGCTTGCGGAGATTGGAGAGGCAGCCAACAAAGCGCCGCAGCAGGTGTGTGTCGGCCTCCGGGGGTTGCGCGTTCCTGATGATGAGAGCCGCATCGGCGGGGGAGACGCAGCTGTTGATCCTGAGAGAAAGCTCCTGCACGCCAGCGAGGACAGCCTTCACGCCATTCATGTAGCTGGGGATGTGGAAAGCGGAGTCGAGGATGCCATTTCTGAACACGAACTCCAGCTTGTTGGGCCGCGACTTGGCATTGTCGAGAGCGCAGAGCAGCTTGTTGAGGCAGGCAGTGTTGAAAAAGGCGTCACCATGCGTATACACCCCTCCAGCTCCCGTCTCGTTGAGGATTGTGGTGGCGCCGTAGCTCGAGCCGGGATCGCAGTCTTTGATGCGGATCGTTTCGACGGCGAGCTCCTGCAGCGCTTCGCACAGAAGGACGCGGTCATGACCTGTGTTGACGAGAGTGTCTTGATCGATACTTTCGGCGAGGTATCTGGCTTGCTGGACATGATTCAGGCGTCGGCGCAGACATGGGGAAAGCGAAGGGTCGAAGCGGTTGGTGCCGAGGGTGAGTTCTTTGAGGAACGACGAGAGGCGCGACTTGGAGATGGCGACGAGGACTCGCAGGCTCGACTCGGTGAGCATGAACTGTCGGCTGTGGAAGAATCGTTTGGCAAAGGCAGAGAAGAGGCTGCTGTCGAGGTGCTTCGACGCGCGGCGCAACAAGCCGTAGTCCGTCGCGGGTAGGTACGAGCAGATACATAGCAGGATCTCCAGCGGCATGCTCATAAGACTGGGCGTCATGGTGGATGCCGTAGCTGTGGTTCTGCTCGAATTCAAGTGCGAGTCGGATGGCCAGAAGGAATTAATCAAATGCGGCGGAAGAGCGCTCGAGGAGATGATGGCCTGGGTCCCTGACGCGGGCGGCGGAGGTCACTGCAGACGTGACGCGGGGCCTAACCAATTACGTAACTACACCTGCACCTACGGACCTTCAATGAGTACGTATCTTCACACGGCAACTTCAAAGTTGCAGCAAAAAAAAGAACAGACATTGGGTAAACAACTCAACACTGTATTGGTCAAGATACTTTTACCAAGTCTTGGGTTGGAGGCTACAGGAACGCTCGTCTACTTTGGTATTGATGCAGTAAAGTCAACTAGGTGACAAAATAGACGGCGTATCCAGGTGGCACAACTAGGTTAAGTTATGCCACCTGGATGCGCCGTCAATAGCTTGGCAGTGTTCTCCAGCTATAGATCGATGTTTTATTTGGGATTTCATGCCAACGGCTGTCCCCAATTTCTCCAGTGCCTGCCGAGTGCAAACATAGTGGCCAATGCGCGATGGGCGGATTACTTTCCTGCGCTTATGACTATATCTGCAGAACTTGCATCCTGCTAGGGTATATCTGATTTCCTCACCATGGTTCTGCGGTGTGCCTTTATAAACACAATGAATTTCAGACTCTTAGCAGTAAAACATGCTGACCAGTACTTGGTGTGGGGGTTGTGTCCCGTTTCCGACGCCCCTTGTAAGCTTCTCACTGCAAGGCTGGCCTCCAGCACTGTAGATCCTTTATGTTGGACACGCCTCTCTGCCATTTGACGCTGGTGCATAGCCAAGCAGCTGATCAACGGCGCGATGCGGGACTGTCGAGATAGGTTGAGATAGCATCCCGAGAGCCAGGAGAAAGCAATTCGCATTGTTGAACCAATCAGAATCGACAGGAAAAGTTCCTACTCGATGCGTTGTGCTGTCTCAACAGGTTTATGCACACTGTCTACCGACGTGTGATAGCCATACTGAGACACTTGGTTGGCATAGACAGCGAATTTAAGTCGAGCTTTCCCTGGCTACAACGAGTTTGCGTTGCTGCTAACGGCGACTCTGGATTTTCTGCCGTGATGAACGTAGTGGCTAGTCTATTAGTGCCATCCGTTAAGAGCACGGCCCAGTTATACTTGCGGGTCGCAATCCAGTTCACCCGTTTTGGCCACTGATAGGACGGGTTACAAATCATGGGTGATAAGTTTGGCGACCACTGGATCGGTACCTGCAGATAAGTTGGATAAGAGTGGTGACTGGAACCCTTCCAGAAGGCATACGGGATTACGTGACATAAATCAGAGCCCCTTGAACCTGGTCTTCCCGCTAGGATTACATCTTCTATTAACCGCTTTTCTGTCGCATGCTCTTCCCTTCCCTGAACATGTCTTTGCTTGGTTACAGCGACGGCCGCATCTTAAAGCTCGATCCTAGCCCCAATTTCACCACAAGCAAATTCGCGAGTATATCTCTTATGATCACTTTTTACGGGCAAAAGCTCCGTTTGCCCCTCTCGAAGCGCCAAGACCTGCGGAGCTAATTGGGGTTCCGAGTATAATGTGTCAAATAAGTAAAGTGGGACCAGGGGCACGTTTAGTGAATACTGTTGGTGGAGAAACCAAGTTAAGGGTCGGCGGTTCCGCTCTAGGACAGGAAGTCTCGGATTATAATGTACCTACAGGCTGCAGGGCTGCGTTTTTCTGTATTAGAAGGGCTGGCATCACTTTTCGGATCTTTGTTCCCTCTACACCAGTTTAGCTTTCTGATTCTACAAGACGGTTGTCTTTCAAATTCATCCTTTTTCGTTGTGAAACACCAGATGATCAATATGCTCACCGCGGCCGCTGTTCTCTTTGCTCTTGCAGGAGTTTCGGGGCATGCCGTGATGCAAGATCCGGTTCCTCGCGGGGTATGCACTCCTCGCACATGCTCATCGATAAAAAGCTGATAGTGGGAATAGACTGGCCCAGCTCAGGTAGAGCTCTGCGGATCTGCTTTAACCACCGCCCTTGAGAAAGGTTAATTCCCTGGCCTCCTTTTCCTTTGAAACATTCTCGCTGATATGACTCTATTCAGATCTTGCAGGCCCCATCGAGGACGCAGTAGCAAAGGCCGACGCCGATTACAACTGCAACGCATACCTCTGCCGTGGTTACCAGTACGAGGATAACGTTGATAATGTCAAGAATGTCACGGCGGGTGAGGTGATGTACTTTCACATCGACCTTGTTGCGGGCCACCACCCGGGCTACGCCGTGAGTAGCTATTGTCCATATATTTTCGCTACGCGCCAGCTTACATCCAAAGAACGTCTCGGTAGTTGACCTTGCTACGAATGAGATCATTGGTGATCCACTCCGCTCTTGGGGGTATTGGCCGAACGCCACCTCGGGCCCGCCGCGGGATGATAGTATGTGGTTCTTTCCCTGCCGTCTAACATTGTCGAAGGAAGAGACTAATATCGGACATAGTTGACTTCAATGTGACCATCCCGACCAACTTGGGTTCAACATGTGATGCAGGCGGAAAGTGTGCGATTCAATGGTACTGGTATGCAAGTGGAAACGAGCAGACATACGAGAGTTGCCTTGATTTCTATGTCGAGGCTTAAATACAGAACAGCAACCTACACTCCCACCTTGGGGCTTGACAGCATAAAAGACTAGTTATAAGCGTTGATGTTTTGATTTATGCATTCTTCATAGAAAGGAAGTCCACAGAGCCCTTCCATCACATCTCACATTGTTGTTGCGTCTGTTCAGTACAAGAAATAGGCCGCAAAATATCACGCTAAAGATTTTGATTTGCTGGAGAATAAGCAAAGCATCGGATATTGTATAATATGTTTATCTTTTTGGATGGCGATGATGTCTTCGCACTCCTAACTGAGCTTATCCCCACCAGGATTGACATGGCAAGTAGATTGAGTGTCGTGAGTGTGGCCATAGAAATCTGCCTGGGTCGAAAAGACTGACAAGGAGACACCCTGCAATACCGTGGTATTCAACAAACGCTAGTATCGAATTTGTATATTCTTGAATTCAGCAAGATTAGGGGTTACTCGTCAAGTCTGGAGCACTGCTTGCTTTAGGGAATATTCTTTACGATATTCCATGTTTAAGTGCAAGTGGCGAATTGTCGGGTTACCAACTGTCAACACTGTCAACTTTAAGCCCTGCCAGCTACGCACCGACACCTGGAGCACTTGTGGGAGCAGCAAGCCTCTTCAGTTTTGACGACAGTTTATGGTCTATCACACCCGACAACGACGTCCTTGGATTAATTCATCTGGTGTTATTTCCTTAGGACCATAAAATGACGACTGTGATCGACTCGCAGATATTTCACAATGCGTTCTCGACGGCTGAGATTGCAGAAATTTGGAGCGACAAGCAACGTACGGCCTACTACCTTGACTTCGAGGCTGCGTTGGCCAAAGTACAGGCGCAGTTGAACATCATCCCGAAGAACGCCGCAGCTGAGATTGTGAAGCACTGCAAAATAGAGTTTATGGACTTCGAAGAGTTGAGACAGCAGACAGAGATGATTGGATATCCCGTCTTGCCGATGGTGCAACAGCTGGTTACAAAGGTCAATGAGGTCGAGTCCAAGCTGGGAGAGTGGGCTCATTGGGGTGAGTGACCTCGAGAACCATCATTTGGGGAGAACTCCTGAAATACTGATGCAGTCATGCTGAGGAGTAATTCCAGGGACGACCACGCAAGATGTCACCGATACAGCCACCGTGCTTCAGCTTCGTGACACTCTGCAGTTAGTTGACGGCATGCTTCATAACATCATTGTATCCCTAGAGGATCTTTGCACCAAGTATAAGTCAACCCCCATGACAGCACGTTCCAATCTACAGCAAGCTGTCCCGATTTCTTTCGGCTTCAAAGTAGCACGACTGCTAGCTACCTTTGCACGTCACAAGCAGCGACTTGACGAGATTCGACCGCGTTTACTCGTGCTCGAGTTCAGCGGCGCAGCTGGAACACTTGCGACACTCAGTGAATCCACTGCATACGGCCCACCGCCTCCCTCGGAAGATAACGAACCACTTGGTCTTCGCTGCCAAAGCCTCCTGGCGACTGAACTGGGTCTCGCCGTGCCCACCATAGCTTGGCACACCGAACGCGACAACTTTGCTGAAGTCACATCCTTCCTGGCCATCCTGACAGCCACCTGCGCCAAATTTGCCACAGACCTCAAACTCATGATGCAGTCCGAAGTCTCGGAAGCCAGCGAGCCATACGTGGCCCATCGTGGCAGTAGCTCCACCATGCCGCAGAAGCGCAACCCCATCGGCTGTGCGTATATCTGCTCAATGGCCAGTTCAGTACGAGCTATGGCAAGTAGTATGGTTGAAGCCATGGTTGCGGACCACGAAAGGAGCACAGGGCCATGGGAGATCGAGTGGGTCATGCTGCCGCAAATCTGTGCATTGAGTCACGCCTGTCTGAAGCAGACGCATTATTTGATCGCCGGAATGGAGCTAGACCAAGATGGTATGCAGCGGAATCTTGAGCTATCTCGTGGGGCTATCGCCAGTGAGGCCGTCATGATGGGGTTGGGGAAGACGCTAGGAAGGCAGTATGCGCACGACCTTGTGCATGGTCTTTGCCGCAAGGCACAGTCCGAGAGAAGGTCGTTACTTGAAATTTTGCTAGAGAATGACGAGGTTAAGAACACTGGTTTGTGCGAGGGGGAGTTGCAGAGGCTCTGCGACCCCGCCAACTACCTTGGGCTGAGCGAAGTCATGGTGGAGCGGGTTTTACGAGCAGTAAGAGAGTGAGAGAGAATTTGAGAGAATTTGAGAGACTTTCACTGTAATTTCCTTGTCGACATTGGTACCTGTGATCCTTTCTCCGAGTATGCTCCGTATCGGGATTGTCAACTCGAGCATTGCCAGGAACGGCTGGGCCGCGAGTAATAGTATAGAGTGAAGGGGATAAACAGGCGTTCCATCTATTAGTTACGGGTTGTTACTAGTATTCATAGGTAGGTATGCCCAGAATAATTCATTCATCTCTAACCTTCCGTTCTAAATCCTCCAAAACACTTCCCTTCAGTAGACAGCTAAGCCCCTATTCCGTATTACAACGCCAGGATTCCTTCATTTCAATGCTATTTTGAGACTCCTACATTTTCCATAGCTTATCAACGCGAAGATCAGCTCCCAGCAGGCTCCCCAACGTTGTCATGCACCCAGAGTTCTAACAAGCATACCAAGCTATTTTGGGACAACAATAATCGAAAGAACTGCAGTGCTCAACACCAATAGCACTGCCGCCTATGCGAGGCTCTTCTGTGCACTCAAAATCCTCTACATCATTAAAATTGCCGCACAAATACCCCGTAGCCTCGGTACCGTTCGCAAACCGTAGGTCCACGTCATACACACCAATATCGATGCACGGAGCGACAGCACTACATTGTAGACTGGCAACGTTGCTTGATTGAGTTATGCCCTCCAAGCCATTGATTTTGATGTCGATGATCTGGAACTACGAGTTGGTACACTGCAGATATCGGTGTTAGCGCGTACGACCTACCATCACATGGGCTCTACTTGCATTACCCTCGCCAGGAGCCCCACTGAACCGAGTGCATTGTGAAATAGTCAAGGCACCACCATGGATGTTGTCGCTGGTGAGGTTTTGGAATGTCATATTGGAAGCATCTTCGACACGTTAGTCTTCTTCATATCGCTATCACACAACTTGAAACTGCGGGGGCCGACTTGCACCCAAGACCACCACCTCCTCCGTTTGGCGGGTAACCGTTCTGGTCGTCCGTCCAAGTCTTAAAGTAGAGCTGTAGTTTTCAACATAAGCAAGTGGCTTTTGGTGTACACCGCAGGTTAGAATTACCGCGTGCAAGGTCTTGTGGTGTGGTACGAGATGTTCTCAACCGTCAGGCGCTCAATCGTCTCGAACTGGTCAGTGTACTTCCCAATGCTCCCGATCGCTATGCCAAGACCATTATAAAATTCGCAATTCGTGATGCTGATATCGGTGCTATCGGCTTTCAGAGAAACTCTGTCGTCGCCGTTGTAAACGGTCCAGTTGTTGAACTTGATGTGCGACGATCGGAAGGATTGCCAGTGTAACTCACAGCTCTGGGCGCGATTTCCTGTATTATTGACGAATATACTGTCCAGTTCGACTTTATGTGAGTAGATGACTGAGAGCGTCCACATCTTGCTGCGAATGAAACTTATTCTCTTGATAACCGAGTTGGTCGATCCATTGAGAGTTAGGGCATGGGGTCGACCCGGGTAGTTGGATTTATTAGCTTGCTTGTTGATAAAGTTATACTAGTAATTACCATTACCATCGAAAGTGCCCGAACCATGGCCGTTGATGCGAACATTGTTACCGCCGAGGATGAATGCCGTCGTTTGGTTCTGGTACTTCACGGGCATGGAGTTGTTCAGCCAATATGTGATGTGTCGAATATCACGTGTGTCCAATCGAGTAGTCAGAAGTGCGTAAGATTGTATATGAATGAGGCGTATTGTTCCCTGTCCTCTCGAACTCCCGTTGCTCTGTCTTTTATAGATTCCTTAGAACATATCGGAGGTACATTGTTCACGTATCTGACCCCTAAGTGGACAGTAACTTTGGTGTTACTTTTGAGAAAAGGGGGTCCCTTCGCCTTCTGAACTTTAAATGACAATAGTCTTCTCTAGTGCCATATTATTTCTGAACTTAGGAACCAGGTGCCCTATCTGACATGATGTTGGTACTCCACTGTTTAGGTTTATAAGAGTAAGTCTTTGAGTAGGGTGGAATTTGATGAGAAACTGAGGTGTTTGGCTATATACTAACAAAGTGCCCTGGATGTCGATATCCATATCCTCGAGCCAGGTGACGTCATGATGGAATTAACGTAGTACTTTTCGGGCCCAAAGATGATACTCCTTCTAGATAGAAGGTAACAAAGCATATCACTCCTTGGAATCAATTCCATGACCGCCCAACCGTATATGGTTGGTTCTTGGAATGAAAGTGATATGATTCTAGCATTACATGCGCTTCAATCTGATCCAAAATTAAGTGTACGTCGCGCTGGTCAGATCTATAACGTACCTTTTAGAACCCTTGCGTATCGACGCGACGGTAAAACCGCTCGAGCGATTACGCGATCGCCAACGCAAAAGTTGACTCCTTCCGAAGAAGAGGCAATCGTACGACATATAAACGACCTAGATTCGCGAGCATTTCCTCCCGATTGAGTGGTGTTGAAGATATGGCCAACCGATTACTTCGAAGTCGCGACGTGGGACGCGTCGGCGTCAACTGGGCCTCGAGCTTCGTAAGACGACAAATAGACCTCCGGACGCGTTTAAATTGAAGGATCAACTATCAGAGAGTCCTCTGCGAAGACCCCGACGCGTATCGCGCGTGGTTTGACCTGTTACGGAATACAATTGCGAAATATGCGATCTAGGAGGAGGATATCTACAACTTCGACGAGACCGGTTTTGTGATGGGCCAAATCTCGTCCGAAATGGTCGTGACGACTTCTGATCAGCGTGGAAGGCCTAGAGTAGCCTAGCAAGGAAATCAGGAATGGGTTATAGTTATTCAAGGCGTTGGGTCGTCCGGTTATGCCCTCCTCCGTACATCATTTTCGTCGGCAAAACCCACCTCTCGTCATGGTACGAAAATAGCCCATTATCGCCTGATTGGGTTATCGTAGTTACTAAAAATAGCTGTAATACGAACGAGAGAGGCGAATATTGGATAAAACACTTCGATCATCACACCAAGTCTCGTACGAAAGGTACTCATCGCCTATTGATCCTCGACCGCCACGAAAGCCATCACTCGACCGATTTCGAGGTATATTGCAAAGCTAACAATATCGTCACGCTTTTTATGCCTCCTTATTCGTCGCATAAGCTCCAGCCTCTTGATGTTGGTTGTTTTCGCGGGTTAAAAAGAGCGTACGGAAAAGAAATCGAAGATCTCATGCGAGCACATATAAGTCATATCTCGAAAGAAGACTTTTTACCGGCGTTTTTAAACGCGTACAGCGCAACTTTCACGGTTTCAAATATCCAAGGAGGTTTCCGAGGGGTAGGAATAGTTCCGTAAGATGCAGATTATGTCATATCACAGCTCGATGTGAAATTACATACGCCAACACCTCCGGGTAGCTCGGCTGGTCTCCCCGTCCCTTGGGAATCAAAGACTCCGAACAACCCAACCGAAGCCCAATCACAAACCGATTATGTGAAAAATATGATTGTACGGCATAAAAATAGCTCACCAACGTCAATTTTTGCTGGAATAGATCAGATTGCGCGAGGTACAACGAAGGTTATGCATCGGCTTGCCCTTTTAGAAGGCGAGGTCGAATCACTTCGAAAGCCAAATGAGACCTTAAGTCGACGTCGCCGTGCGAAGAAAAAACAGCTACAGAGTGGAGGGTCAATTCTTATACAAGCTGTACAGGACCTACAGTCTGAACGAGAGGTTGATGGGCAGTTACATAACGAATTTCGTCAAATTGGTGGTCGTAGGAGGCGGCGAATTGCACGTGCACGGCGCTGTAGAATCTGCGGCGAGCCCGGACATAATGCGCGCACTTGTGGAAATGATGTAGAGACGTCTGAAGATAACGATTCTGAGTAGTTTCAATTGATGATAGGCGTTGTGGTTGAATTAACTTATACATTGTCGTATAAGGTCTGCCAAAGTGTGCAATTGGACCGTGGACTACGTTATATTATTATTATTAAATACGCCGTAGGCTCGAAGCCCCCGGTACCTCTACTAGTACTCCCGTATGTCAAACCGTGCCCTAATGGCTGGAATAAATACATACGCTGCGTCGTTGGTTCGCCCTATTGGCGACTGCGTTGCGTTCACTACCATACTACGTTGGTTCTCAACCTACCAACAAAGTCCCCCCTGAGAAGATCGATGCTATCTGAGCCTTGAAGCTGTCCGACCCGTCCCTAGCAGCCACCTTACAATAGTCCCACTAACTACTGGTTCTCTTGTTGCCGTTGCGAGGTCTCTGCGAGAGTATAGTGGCCGTGGTGCGATAGCGGCCCGTAATCGTTCCCTCGGTCCTTCCAACAGCCCGCAAAAGAGGATTACGTGCTCTGCTGTCTCAGGAGCGTCGCCACAGCGGCGTAGCGGCGAGTACACGCCAAAAGCCCCTGTCTTGAATAAGAAGGCTGCTAGTCCTATTTTTTCCGTCCTGATCTGGCACAGCGTAGACGCTTCCAGTCGGTTCAGGCCGAAATACTTGCCCCCTTTCGGTATCTGCATCGAAGGGCCCTCCGGTTCCTCAGCGATGGCGCGTCGCTGGCGATCGTGATGCTCTGCTCCGATGAGCCATCTCTTCCTCCAGTGGCCGAGGAGGGCAGCCGGGACCTCCTTTTCCTCACTCATCCACTCGGAGCCCCGGGCCTCCTTCTCCATAGTGTACCCTGCCGGTCGGAGTAGCTGCGACGCCTGCTTCCTCTTCGCCGGCCTATCCTGCCGGAGTATATGTGACGCTTTAGCGCTCGCGCTGCGAAGCAGATTTCTCCTCCCGCTAAGCCGTAGCCGTTCTTCAAACCTAGCAGCCCGGGCACTAAGATAGAGGTCTAGTGGCGGGATTGCTGCTTCTGCTTCCAGGTGGCGAACCGGCATTGTTTTGTGGGCGCCGCAGACTACCCGGAGGCACTCGTTCTGTATCCCCATCAGGCTCTTAGCTGGCCCTGCCGGTTCCGCACTTATAGTATGCCACGCAGTCGCCCCGAAGGCGATCGCGCTACGGATAACCACCGTATATAACAGCCTCGCCCGTATAAGATCGCAGCCCCACGACATATTGACTAGCTTTGTCAGGGCTAGCTTTTGAGTTGCCATTTTTGTTTTAACACGCTCAACATGGGCGTGCCAGATGGGAAGCCAATCATAACCCCTGCAGGAGCCCCGCCAAGCGTGGACGACTTAGTCGCTCTCCCTCAAACCTAAGTTTGGGATCTTCTTTCCTTCGCTCCTTAGAGTAGAATCTTCGTCGATAGCACCTAATCGAGGTCTCTACCAATGCGATGCAACCCAGGTCGTGACAGGCCTCAGGGGGGGCTCAGCTCCGTAGCCTAGCCCACCTCTGCAGTGCCCACAGGCTTTTGTGATCCTTCGCCGTCCCCTCAAGCTTCTCGTGCCAGCTACGCGTCTGCGCTTCGCTGATTTCGAGCCGTTGTTTTTGGCCGGCTCTTGTATATTCGTCCCAGTTGGTCTGCGACCTTGCCTGGAGGTAGTCCCGTCGTCTCTTCGTCTCAGCGCAAGCCTTGCTAACCTGCGGGCACCACCACGGGACCCCAGCGCCTCGGCCAACGGTGCGTCTCGGGACCGCCACGTCGGCGATCTCTTGGAGGTTCCGGATAACCCAGTCAACAGCCTGGTCCAACTCCGTTATCGTCTCAACCGGCAAATAATTCATAAATCTCTGGCTTGATTCGGCTACGATGAACCACTTATCCGCCATCGCCCAGTTCCACCCTTCGACACTGCGGCGACCCTCCTTGACTGCTTCCCCGTTGGATATTACCCTAATCACTTGCGCTGTGTGGTTTGAGCCCTCTAGGCCCGGGTCCCCATCGTAATCAATCCTAGCCCCTTTCGTCACCCAGGCTAGGTCGATAGTTGAGTCTCGTTGTTTGTGCCTTTGCCGTGTGATTTCCCCAAACAGCGTAACGAGTTCTAATCGCCAGCGTCGCGCAAACTCCACTACGTTGTCGCTGCCCCGTGACGACCGTCCGTGGACGTCCCACAGCGGGTGATGTGTATTGAAGTCCCCCACGAGGACTTGTGTCCCCTCCGGAGCCCCATTAGGGAGGTCTTGGAGCGGGCTGACCCAGCGGCTCCCGGTCTGGTTTGGTGAATAGATAGACCAGATCGTAAGGGCGTCCGGGCCTGCCCCGAACGTAATACTGCTCCAGTCCATCCCGGTACGGGGTCGCAACGTAGCCACGTCGTATCGTTTATGGACATATAGCGCAGCTCTGCCGCTGCTGTACACTACTTCGTACCTGGACGACTTCGGGCAATAAATCGCCTTCGTCCGCCGGTTGATCCATGGCTCTTGAGCCGCTATTATATCATATTCACCCCCCTTATCCAGCGCTAGCGTTGCGTTCGCCTTTGAATCTGCGATATTCCAGTAGAGAATAGAGACTACCATTAAGCTGTCGATGGTATATCTTCGTTCGTACGTCCCTTAGGGAGGAAGCTGCGCATTGCTGACGCAGACCGTTCGGTTCACTCCTGCTCCACTCGCGATCCGCCTAGGGGGCGGCCCCGGGGTCGTACAACTGTAAACCCGTCGCTGGTCAATGAGCTAGGTGGTGTGAGCCTACCCTCACTAGATAACCCGTCCGAGTAGCTGCGGACCTCAAATTGTCGGGGGCGGTGAGCGTACGCCTCGCATACGCGTAGCCGCTGCTGTTCTGCCGTAGGGCAGTCCCTGTCCCACGCCGTGTGCTTCCCTTTGCAGTTCAAACAACGTTTTTTGCCGCTAGGTGCCTTCTCGGGGCAGTCTTTTTCACCCCCTGGGTGTGCCGTTGCAGCGCAGACGCCGCAACGCGCCGTCTTCTTGCAGTGTTTCGCGATATGGCCGTATTCGTAGCACTGGTAGCACTGCCGAACCCGAAGATTTCCGTCGTACGGCTCGCAATCGAATATCTGGGCCTCCCAAATAAGCCCTTCGGAGCATAGTTCTATCGCCGCCTCCACGCTATCCACGTGTAGTATCAGGGCCGCATACGGTGCTTGCGGCGCCCGGGGAGGTTCCTTTTGGCCTTAGAGAGGTGCTTTGTATTGTCCCGCTTCAGGTCTTTAAGTAGCTGGCTCTCGTCGTGGACCTCTCGCAGCCGTTTCGCAGGCAGCCCCTTCGCGATTACTGCAACTTCTCTGCGGTTGAGAAGTGCCTTATCGCTGAAGGCACTACGCACCCACCGGCTGTCCGTGGTCGCCGCTGAGGCCGACTGCTTAAACGTCACTACGGTATCGCCACTGCGCAGCCTGCGGGCCGCCACTGCATCGGTGCTGCCGCATGCATTGTTCACCGCTTTTACGACCTCAGCCGCCGATCTGTTCTTCATATTAGGGTTCTCTGTCCCCCGGATCACTACCTCTCTCTCCCTTCGCTGGGGCACTACAACCCGCTGCTGCCACACTGGGGCTTCACCGGGTCCCCGTCCCTGGGCCGATCCTGAGGCGATTGAGGCCCAGGATCGAGTTGTAGGAAAGGCCACATTCTTCACCGTATCCTGCATGGTCTTCTCAACCATCGTCTGGATCGCCGCAGGAATTTCGGCAAGGGCCAGAGTCACTGCCAGTACGTCGGCATGTGTGGCGGGTCTGTCGTCCCCCTCCTCCAGCGTCCTGCCGGCCAGTTTCAACCCCAGCCAACGCTCCATCAAACCCCCCATGACCTCAATCTTCTCATGTGGGACCAAGTCGGCAATCTCTTGTTCTACTTTTTGTCGTTCTCTTTCGATGTCTTCCCTCTTTGCGTTTTTGCTGCTGATGTGCTCCACGTTCGGTGCGTGGGCACTTTCGTTGGCCTGGGGGTGGTGAAAACTCTGTTCGAGTCCTGCCCGTCCCCCGTCAATCACCATCGGCGCCGCCATCGCTTGCGTCCTGGCTTCGCGTGCGATGCGAGGTCACTGTCCGACGTAAACGGTCGTTAGGAATCGAATGCCGCAATCGGTTTGATGATTTGACGCTGTTCGAAGAAGCTATCGATGAAAGTCAGAAACCTTCCCTATTAATATAAAGCATACGACTATGATCCTTATCCCTCTTGGTAATGTTGCGTTTTGTAATACATTTGGTTTTTGCCGTGCTTGGGTATTGATCGACCACCCTTGTTCTGGGTGTTTCTATCCAAGCTCAAAGCATGGTTTAATAACATATAACCTGTGGTAACGCATTGTTCTGGTACATACGACCATAGGCTGCAGAGAATTCGGGATCCCGTCTGCTCTCCCATAGACAAGCTGCAAACCGCTAGATTAGTAGTTGGGTGGGTGACCACCAGCGAATCCCTGGTGTTGTATGTTTTTGCTATACTTGTTTTCCACTAAACGTCATTTGCTAGGATATTGTAAATATCCTGAAACGTGTTCGTTCTCGCTAGAGTCCACATCTTTAGTCAAAACGTTATGTTTCATAGTAGACTTCGTTTTAGCCAAGTTATATTAGTAAAACTTCGAGGCACACTTCAATGTCTAAGCTGGGTACATTACAAAGTTTATAGGACTTACAGCCTTGTTCATAGATCCCCCCCATATGCACCAGAAAGGCTACCAGGTCTCCAACTATATTGAGCTATGTTCGTGCTGTGCGGAAAGAGCTCGTCTTGTCTTGCTCAAGTACGAAATGGGGACTATCTTTTAAAAACATGGGGTCATAGCACTCACTCCACGTGTGTAAAAAAGTTAGGCATCGCGTCCTGAAGAAGACAGATGTCTCACATAATCTGGCTGGGATAGAGTCCACATAAAGACAGATGGAATCTGTTATATTACACATGCGTCTGATAAGGATAGGTAATGGAGGTAGTTGATTGATTGATTGATTGGATTTTCGTTGTCTTTCCTTGTCCATTGAAGGATACCGTCTGTCTTTATGTGGACGCACTCCCTACAAAATTCAGTGGAGAGTAGTCCTTCTCTGGATATGTTATCTCACTTGTTTCCCATATGTGGACTATGCACCATGAACTATGTATCCTCCCGATGACCCTTTCACCAAGCTAGTCTTCTACTATAACTTAAGCACCCACGATGATTAAGATATATGTTGCAGCTTAGCCAGCCCAGTAGCTACCCTTCAGATTCCATCTTAACCAAGGCCACGATATCAGCCGCAAATATACATGGAAATTGTTCTACTATACACAAAAAGAACATAACATCCTGCCACAGCTAAGGCAGTTATTAAGGCCATACCAGCATGGCCGCTAGTGCTGCAAGTACAGCGGTGCGGTTACCGTATATTGGATTGTGGGCAAATGGTCTTGTATTGAAAGTGTCATGATCTCTGGAGAGTCCAGAGAGAATCAAAGGGCGGCCATAAGGGCCTTATATAGTCAGAAATGACTGATGCCTTCCCCACAGTCAGGACTTGTGTGGTTCAATGGGTATAGGTCATATTGACCCATACTTCGTACGGTTTGCGGCTTTACTTTTCTCCTTTTGACTTGGCAGTCTTGACGGAGTAGCCTTGAAGGTCCAACACTGTAGCCGTGTGATACATGACCACAAGGGGGGTTTACCCTGTACCAATAGATAATATAGCTAGATGAGATGAGGGCTATAAATAGGCTCTGTCAGGCCAGAATAACCGACCTGGCCAACCCTTCCCAATACAACAATTCACACTCTATATGCACTCGCAACACTGTTATACAGTGCGCCAAATTAACCATCTTTATAATAACGAAATACATTGTCATCATCACAAATGTTTCTCTCTTACAGATGCGCGTCGGATCGAGAGAGAAGACGACAACGAGTGTCGGCGATAACGAGAGCTCAAACAACTACAGTACCGCCAGCAGGAAGAGCGCCGTGAAATCGAGAAGATTAACCGCCAACGCTATCCAGAGCCCAGTCACAACCAGAAGGACAACAACCAAATCAACAACAGCCACGAGATCGACGGCTTCAAGAAGCAGAGCGTGATATTCAGCAACCACACCTTCACGTAGCCAGCCTAAATGCCGAAGTGCGGTCAATCGATCAACAAATTAGCCGCCGCCAGCTTCTTCAACGAATCTACGGTTTCCAACTTCAACATATCCATCGCCAGCACCGATCACACTAATAAATCAGATACGAAAAGCTTCATTTTCGTCCTCAGAAAGCTTACGAGAGTCAAATATACAAACGGACAGACGAACCACCCGCTAAGAGAAGCTGCATAAGCAACTGCCTTCTAGCCGCCAAGGATCCCTAAAGATTCCCTAGCCAAGTAGCTGCTACAAGTGTCAAAAGACTTTCGAGTCAAGAAACCAGCTATTTGAGCACCTTCGCGGCAGGGGTACGCACTACCAGTGCTCACCTTCACGATTAGAAGCATCAAGATCCTCTACATCATTTTCGTCATCTTTCAACCACGAAGCCTTCCGTACGAACTGCACCAGAGAGTATATACCGTCAAGTTCATCGCCCCGGCCACAATGCCCTTCACATGATAGCAGCTATATCAGCGAATACAGCTCCGACGTCTTCTGCGAAGCATCAACGGACATGTTACGATCCTTAGGAAGATTTCTCGTCTTCACCCCCTTGGACGCGAAACGTACCCAGAGTTGGAGTATGGTTGTCGATCCATCCACAACAATCTGTCTCCCTTCGCTATTTCGTGCTCGTGAAGTATCTCCACATCGCTGGCCATGATTGAGGCTAGTCATCACTTCTCTGTGTGACCGGCATTCTGACGTGTGACGCTTAGGGACCTCACATACAGTATGTGGCAATAATCTTGCTATCCTGTCAAGTATCGCCAAGCTACCCGATTCAAAAAGTGGTGAGAGGCAGCCCGCTGCTTTCACTACTGCTATAACAACAACGACAACAAGGGTGATTATATGAATAGATAGTTAAAAACCAGTGACAGATTTTACCCCCTTTCAGACTTGGTGTCTTAGCGGTACTTAGGGTAGCAAGTTTATCTCCACCTACTTTGTTATGTAGATTAGGTAAGGGACCTTTAAAGGCCCTCAGACAAGGCTTCTAGGCAGCCTCGCTATCCTCCTCAATACATCTTCTTTGACCCTATAATTTTCGTGTCAATATAATACCTATATTAACCATTGGGACTGTCATATTAGTAGTTAGGTAAGTGACTATCATCAAATCCCTAGTGTTATACGCTTTTTGATATATTTGTTTTCTTCTTTCTTTTCTTTAGGAGTGGTTTGCTAGATATTTTAATTATCTGGAATTATGTTAGATCTGTCACGACTTAGGTTGCATCGCATTGGTAGAGACTGTGACGGTCAACCCTCGCAGACTCACTACAACCAGGTGACTTACAGCTGGAACACCTGCCATGGCAGTGTCAGATGGGAAGCCAATCATAACCCTTGTAGGAGCCCCGCCAAGCGTGGATGACTTAGTCGCGCTCCCTCAAACCTAAGTTGTCATCTTCTTTCCTTCGCTCCTTAGAGTAGAATCTTCGTCGATAGCACCTAATCGAGGTCTATACCAATGCGATGCAACCCAGGTCGTGACAGAGACCTCGATTAGGTGCTATCGACGAAGATTCTACTCTAAGGAGCGAAGGAAAGAAGATGACAACTTAGGTTTGAGGGAGCGCGACTAAGTCGTCCACGCTTGGCGGGGCTCCTACAGGGGTTATGATTGGCTTCCCATCTGGCACTGCCATGGCAGGTGTTCCAGCTGCAAGTCACCTGGTCGTAGTGAGTCTGCGAGGGTTGACCTTCACAAGATCACGCTAGAGTCTTTATCCTCAGTCTACGTTTTGTATTATACTTGATTTTGACCGTGCTTGGATATCGATCGCCCTTGTTATAAGTGTTTCTAGCTGAGCTTAAGGGGGTGATACGAAAAGGTAGGAGGACCCACTGGTTAGGTGAATCCCATTCAATTAGATACTATAACGTTGCGCACTGCTGCATTATAGCATCCTCCCCCCTAGGTGCACGCATCAGGGGGGCTCTAGCTATATATAAACTGCAGCTACAGCCAATTCTAACACATATGACCATAGGTTGCAGAGAACTCGGGATCCCGTCCGCTCTCCTATAGATAAGCTGCAAACCGCTAGGTTAGTAGTTAGTTAGGTGACTACCAGCGAATCCCTAGTGTTGTATGTTTTTACCGTATATTTTACTTTTGACTCAAAGTCGTCTACTAGATATTGTTAATATGTTTAGTCGGCTGGTGTAGTTGGTCACTTCGCTGGTAGGTAAGTCCCGATTTGAGCCTCACCCACTTGGGTCGGTGACGAGTCGCGGGTTCGAATCCCGCAGCTGACACACAAGGGGGTTTAGTCAACCCTTATGGCGCGCTGCCCACCTTGTTGACTTCGCCTACCTAGCGATAATAGGGAGATTGGTGCAGTTTAGGATTACGAGCATCCTAGCCAGTCGACCGTCAAGCACTACGTCGGCGGAATATAACTCGACAGCCGGTCCAGAATTCGAATCGTTAATCCGACCCCTTATCGGACCTCGCCTATCCGATAACGCTCGTCGGCGAACCCGTCCCCTCACGATAGAAGGCGCGCAGCACGCCCTCTCGCCGCGATTCTTGCGAGCGTCTAGACCACGTTACGGTCTATCCACTTGAGCGTATGGTTGAGATGTATACGCTCGACGAGTGTGACGGTCAACCCTCGCAGACTCCCTACAACCAGGTGACTTACAGCTGGAACACCTGCCGTGGCAGTGTGAGATGGGAAGCCAATCATAACCCTTGTAGGAGCCCCGCCAAGCGTGGATGACTTAGTCGCGCTCCCTCAAACCTAAGTTGTCATCTTCTTTCCTTCGCTCCTTAGAGTAGAATCTTCGTCTATAGCACCTAATCGAGGTCTATACCAATGCGATGCAACCCAGGTCGTGACAACGAGAACCCCAATTAGCAGATACTACGACTTGTCGCGACAAAAAAATAGTCGAGCATCTTCTGCACATCAGCAGCATCCCACCCCTGAGGACGAATTTAAGTGCCACATTACCACACTTATCGGTAGTTCAGGCAGGGGTTGTAGCACAGACTTAGGGAGGGACAGGAGGTTTAGTAGTGGTTTGGCTACAAGTTTACCTGTATAACCGCCCGACGCGGCTTAAGGGCCCGCTATATCATCTATAGCCCCTTAAGGGAGTACTTGTAGAGGTACCGAGGGTTAACACCTACGGCGTATTTAATATTATTTTATATATTACTAGCCGATATAGCATCGCGACTACTAAATACTCGCAGAAACCTCCTAATAGTAACAGTAGAGCTAGTAGTGAGTGATACTATCGTAAGGTAGCTGCTAGGGACGGGATGGACATGTAACGAGGCAGAGGCACATAGGTACGAATCAAGGTTGCATATCAGTGCATCTCTATTGTTGAATACTAAACTAGGGAAAAAAGAGAAGGAAAGGGTTACAAGTATGTCTGGCCGTTCTCCTATTATAAGGGGAACGCGCTCGTCCAGATCAGGGCAGGCCATGTCAGGATGTCCCTGCTTATCGTCCATGTGTCAGTCGTCACAAGTAGATTGATTGATTGAAATTTAACGTCTCATCACGTGAGACGTGCCGGGCGCAGTGCCGGCATGGTCTATGCTAGTCGAATCTATGTTACAGGGGACTGTCTTCATCTAACATTCCTGTTCAGTGCGATGGGCAGATCTCAGTAAAGAAATTGGTCTCCTCCGCCCATTGGCAAAACAAACGAGCTCCCTTGGCCGTGCCTAGGAGGGAATCTATACTATTCTTGGCCATATGCGCTTTTAGATGACCGGGCGTGGCCTTGCGGCCGCGCTTGCAAAAGTAGAAGTGGACTGGTATCTTTGTCTTTCCACACCCGCAGTTGAGCAGTGCGTCGCGATGCTGGAGTCTCTCGTGGTAGGTACCGGGGGTTTCGAGCCTACTGTGGAATTGGTGGCCTAAGGTCACGTGAGACCCACGTGAGATGCTTTAGTGCCCTTGTGCGGCTTGGACCTCCCCTTCCTCTCCCATCCGTACTTCCATTCTTTACCTTCGTAGTAGTAGCGACGTTAGAATTGCTGAATCCGTAGAAGAAAGTTAAGATAGAGCCGGTACGGTTGCTCCGAGCTTATAATTATTAGATTGTGGGAAAATAGTCTTGTATTGAAGAGGTTATAATCTCTGGAGATTCCTGAAAGAAGTGAACAGCGGCCACAAGGGCCTTATACAGACAAGAATGAACGATGCCTGTCCCACAGGCACGACTTGTGTGGTACGATAGGTAGTGAGTACATTAGCCCATAACGTACGGTACGTGGCCATATATCCTTTCAGGACTAATAGTTTGGTGTACTAGCCTTGAAGGTCCGACACCTAGCCTAACCTAATGACCTATATTGGCATGGATTCTGTAGAGATCGATTTCGACCTTTAGTTGAGGCCTAGTTAAGGGAATGGATTGTACTCTCCTATCCCTATACATACTCCATCCACCTCGATACCATCGACATGCTGCGACACTATCCCGTCGGCGCCGAAGCGGATGAGATCTCCACCGTGCGGATCACCAGCGACCATCGGATTCCAGCCCATCGTCTCCTGCGGGCCATTGTATGGGTCCTTGACGAAGGCGAGAACATGGTCCTGCATCGACTCGCTGACATCAATTTCGAACTGGGTAGTGTTCGCTATGTCATCAAGAAGCCTATATGTCCCAAAGGATATAGTGATGTCGCTGGCATGGTACGCGCCGAGCCACTCGTAATAGTTTAAATTGGGAAACGTGCCCGCATGCTGGAACCGGAAGACGGGTACGTCCATCTGGTTCCGATATACGGTCGAGTTAAATGTCGGGCACACCATGAACGAGATATCCAGAGCGGTAACGGTTGGCTGGTACGGGCCCGCGGTTAGGTTTTCTACCGGCCACGGAACCAGGGACGATACCTCATTGGCCGTGTTCGAGATGATGACTGGCAGGCGCGCGAAATGCCCTGCCTCGGAACGCGCCTGATAGTCATTGAACACGATACGATCGTCGCGAATCACGCTGAAGGTTATCGTCGGCGTCTCGCCTCGATCACCGTACTGTCCGATGAAATTCTCGATCATCGCGAACGGCACGTGGCGCATGCAGTCGAGCTCCGCCATGCCGTCCTTATCCTCGTCGTCGCCCGCAGGGGACTCGCACCCAACGTGGCGCGCGACGAAGCTGAAGTTGGAATGCATCGGATCCTGAGGCGTGTTAACACTAAAGATTGTCCCCGATTGCAGCCAGTAGGCTTGGGCAATAGGGTCCTCGGGGAAAGCATAGGCGTGGATATCCAGGCTAATGGACCCAGCCGACCGCCCCCACTGTGTGATGCGGTTTGGGTCGCCGCCGAAGGCCGCAATATTGTCGCGGACCCATTCAAGTGCGGCGCGCTGGTCAAGGATGCCAAGGTTCTGTTCGCCATCCGCTATCCCACGCGCGTTGGGGAAGCCAAATATATTAAGGCGGTAGTTGATGGTAACGACAATGTGCGACTGCGACCGCTCGACCCACGACGTTGGCATCTGCCACGGAATATCGATGCCACCAATTATGAAGCCGCCGCCTGTTATGAAGAAGAGGACAGGGAACCCGGCTTCAGGCCGTGGCGCCGTGGATCCTGGCGTCCATACCGCTAGGTACAGGCAGTCCTCGGACGTAGCCTCGCCCACTAGCCCCGACGAATCGTTCTGGTTACCGTTGTAGATCAAGTTGCCTTTGGTTAAGTTCACGTTCCACATAGAGGTTACCGCCGTTACGAACTGCGGGCAAGACGGTGGGAACCGCGTTGCATAGTGATGCTCGCTCGGCGGCGACGAGAGCTTCTGCGGCGGCAGCCAGCGACGTGACAGCACGGGCGGCTCCGCGAACGGTATAGCGCGGAACTGGAGAGTGTTAGGAAACTTGGGATCAATCAGCCCGGTGAAGGTGCCCGTAGAGGTTTCGACGGTAAGAGGGTCGGAGTCCGGGTACTTCGCTACCTTGCCGAAGTCACCGTTGGTGGCTAGAGCGAAGAGGGACAAGATTACGAACTTCATGTTAGGCAGATTACGGGCCTCGAAGCATGGCCGTCGTTCCCGAAGTGCTTCAATTATAACGGGAGATCCGTCGTTTATCCATAGCGTCAGCGGATTTCTATTTTCTTGCTTACGAAGCATCCTCGGTCGCCTCGCCGTAGAGGCGCATATTTGTGTAACCGCACTAACCACCTTTTTGCATATACCACTATTCTGCGGGGAAATTCTACGCCTTAACGACACATCTCTTAACTCAACTCGTAATTACTCTCTAGCTATACAAAATAGCTTATCTATCAGGGCTATTCCCGGTCGTAGTCGCCTATCGGTATAGTATCAAGGGGATTATATTCGTTACGGTAATTCGCACCGCGACGCGGCCTACGGGTAATGAAAGTTAAGTTAACTCTGTGTAAGGAAAGAGCCGTTGTGGCGGGCCGGTCTCAGCTGACAAGCTGAGTCGGGAGGGATTCGCCCCCGATCCGGTAGAACCCCGCAACCGCCCAACTTAAGAGGAGAACTCGAGACGCTCGCACCTAGTTTAGATTCTTCAAGAATCAGTCTTGCAATATACGCACCCATACACTGGCCTACTTCTAGCTACCCTTTGCACTACCTGACTATTATATTGTGAGACGTGTGGTATCCTCGTTACACTCTGGAGTAAGAGGAAGTTATTGTGAACTAGATCCTATACGAAGAACTATGCGGGCGGCCTCCTAATAAGCGTTATGTAGCAGACTCTACTGCCGGAATACTGCTTACCTAAGGGGATAATTGTTGGATATTCACGTATCTAGCGATGTGACCTTATTGTGGCCTTGAGCTTCCGGTAATCTTACCGTTCTGTGTGAATGGATTGATTGTTGTTTGTGTTCTATCTGATATCCTCTGCAGGGGATTTCTACCTAAGTCCCAGTGGCTGGTAATCACCAATATATCAATCTAAGATATTAATAGAAACCATGATCTCTGCGTGTGTAAGGGAATATAGAGCTACAAGCAGGGTTAAGCCTCGGTTCTACTACTAAGTGACAGAACTGCTAGATCTTTTGGTCTATGTGGCGTAATGGTCTAAGTTAGGCTTGCTATGACCTTACAGTGTGGCTGAGCAAAGTCGGTCAGAAAGTCGCCAGTGGTCATTAATCGTGGGGTAAGCACTTAATACTACCGAAACCACCAGCAAGGTAAGCTTGCTTATTTAATAGACTGCTTGTGAAATACTTCGGGCACCAAGGAGTGGACAGTGTTTAATCTCGAAATAGGATTCACGTCGATAAACCAATGAATGTATGCTTGGAAGCCACATGCTTGCGACCACAGGACGCAGCACAGATCTCTGGATCACGGGAGATATTCCAGTGCTCCGGCCAACCATGCGCCCAGGTGAGCAGTATTACCCAAAGTCCACAACATTGCACGCTCCTGTAGGACTAAGCTTTACTTGGGGATCGTAACAGATGGTGTAGACCACGTATCTAGCCTATAACTCTTCGGTTAGTTCTATTTGCTAAATATCACGTTCTTGGCCTTCGTTATTAAGCCTTCTTCTGATGGTCCTAGGTGCACATTACAAGACCTTTCGACTTCCGTTCATTTGTTTACTTCGTTTCACTGTCTCACACTAATTTAATGTACTTTTCCAGCAAGTCTAAGGCGCTGGCGTGTTCACAGATTCCCTGCGTCGGATGTTAGGCGATCTTCTGAAGATTCGATCCTGCTTCAGCATCAAATCCATCGGCCTACTAGACCCTTCCATCCACTCATCCGAGACCTCACTGGATCAGCTACGCCTGAGCCCTAGAATTCTTTGGCCGCCCTTCCGTCTGGTTCATCAACGCCTTGGTCGAAGTCCTGATACAGACATCCGTGATGCCAGAATCTGATCAACAGTCCAAACGGCACTCCACGGGGCTTGACGCGAATCTGCAATGGAAATAGAGGACTATCGCAGAAAAGGAGGCGACCATGAACATGTCGTGTATCTCGGCCACAAGCTGAAAGAAGTTGCTCCATAGGTTAATATTTAGTATTCTTTGTCCTGTCTCCTCTCGTGATCCTCAAAATCTAAGACTGATTGTCATTAGAACCCGCGTCCGTTGAGAAACATGTATGCATCCGCGGGAAGACAGCAGTCCGCATTCGCCTGCGAGGAATGCCGCCGGTGGAAGGCAAGGTGCGACCGCCGGCAACCTCAATGCACTTCTTGCATTCAGAGTGGTGCAACATACATCACTGTGATACAGAGACCACGAAGAGGTGCCAAGAAAGGTCAGCTTGATATGATGAGGTCGCACATTGGTAAGTGCTGCCTCGATACAAATTGTGCCGCTTTATCCATCCGATATTGCTTTGTTACCAGCTTCTACTTCTAGTGGTCGATATGTAGTATTAACGTTAACGAGTTGCTTTCCTTTAGAAATGCTCGAGTGAGAACTAAAAAAGCAGAAAGAGCCGAGTACCGAGTCACCAACTATTACCGACATTACAAAACCAGCAGTAACAATGCCCAGGCCATCTACGACAGAACGGCTCCTACGCAGATATCATCATGATTCCCGAAAATCTCATGGCGTATATGGCTGGATCAACCCCAAAATACCTCAACTGGCCAACGGCAACGACAATGTCGAGTTCGGAAGCTTCTTATACATTTCTTTCAAGTGAAGCACTGAACCGCGATTACAGTCTGCCGTCAACAAGCACAACCTTGGAGGAACACCTGAACCTGGAGATTGTGAGCCCGATCACGTCTAATGGAGACTGATATTCTAGGCCTCATGCTAGCTGACTTATTCGTTTTACCTTTCCCCGATATCTATCTCTCTAGCCCCTAGAATATGTCTCGATAAGACGCTGCTCAGACTCTGAAGGGACAATGTGAACTGTGATAGGGTCCAGAGCATCTGTCCCATGGTTCATCAACGAAGCTAATTCGCCTGGGCGAGTCAGAATAACACCTCACCTGCTCGAGAGGGTCTGAGATCAGCCATGCACACCTTAGCGGCGGCTATGTCGGCTCTATATCGCGGCCTCGTGAACATGCTATATAAAAAGACCTGTCGCCTGCTCGAGGAATTCAAGCAGACAGGAAACAGAGAGATATATTGGTCCACGCCTCCTGATCCTTGACGGTCATGAAAGCCATCACTCGATGTATTTCGAACAATACTGCAAGGACCATGGCATCATTACCCTTCCTATGCCTGCCCATTCGTCCCATAAGCTCCAGCCTCTCGACTTGGTGCCTTTTAGTGTTTTGAAACGGGCGTACGGTGTGTTTGTTGAGGGTTTGATGCGACGGCATCATACCCACGTTGCGAAGGAGGATTTCCTTGCCGGTTTTTTGGAGGCGTTTGGCGCTGCTTTTACTGAACAAAACATCAGATCTGGTTTCGAAGCAGCTGGAATTGTCTCTTTTGACCCCGACAGGGTTATATCTTCCCTGGATGTCGCAGAAGTCGCGCGTACACCCTCTGCCGACCCAGAACTCCTACCCCCTATTTGGACTTCTAAGACACCTACTACCACCCTTGAAGCCGAATCGCAGTCAACGTTGATTAAGAATAGCGTTCAGAGGCATCAAGACAGCTCTCCGACGCATATTATTCATTCAATTGACTCGATTGCAAAGCCTACGCATGCAATGATGCAAGAGAATGTTATCTTGCGTCGCGAGAACGAAGAGCTTTGTGAGACTAACCATGTGCTAAGCAAACGTCGCAGAACCAAAAACAAGCAAATCCAGTATGGTGGGCCACTTAATATAGAATATGCACAAGTTCTACGGGCTATTAGGGGTGATACGGGTTTGGAAAGTGAGGAAGAGGGTGAAAGTAGTCGTCCTACAAGGAGGAGGGCAACGGGTGGTAGGCGCTGTGGCATTTGCGGAGGAACTGGACATAATGCGCGAACTTGTCAGGCAGATGTAGAAACAGATAATGAAAAGAATTCTGATTAATTTCTTGGATGAATACGGGTTGTTGTTGATCTATCTAAGATTAAAGGTTGGGAGGTCGTGAAAAGTTGGGCAAAGACCCGTGTGGGGCATTGACCTGTGGGTGACGTTATCTAGTTAACGACTAGAAAATAATAGTAAAAGATATGGCAAAAACATACAACTCTAGGGATTCGTTGGTGATCACCCACCCAACTACTAATCTAGCGGTTTGCAGCTTGTCTATGGGAGAGCGGACGGGATCCCGAATTCTCTGCAACCTATGGTCGTATGTGTCAGAGTTTGGCGTTAGTTGAACTTATGTAGAACTAAAGCCTCCCTTGAGCTCGGAGAGAAACACCTATAATAAGGTCGATACACATCCCAGCACGACTAAAATTAAGTATACTATAAAACGAAACCATAGGACTAAGGATAAGGCCTAGAGAGACTAAATATAGCTACAGATATTGATAATATCTAGCGAACGACCGAGGAAAAAGAAACATATAGCAAAAACATACAACACTAGGGATTCGCTGGTGGTCACCCACCCAACTACTAATCTAGCGGTTTGCAGCTTGTCTATGGGAGAGCGGACGGGATCCCGAATTCTCTGCAGCCTATGGCCGTATGTGCTAGGATAGCCTGTTACTAGAGCTTATGTAGAGCCAAAACATGCCTTGAGCTTGAATAGAAACGCCCAGGACAATGGCGATCGATACCCAAGCACGGTAAAACCCAAATGTACTATAAAACTTGTGGATATATGTATAATCTGAACTTGCATGGTTTCTTTTCGGGACTAAATACGTTCATGATGAGTGCCGTAGTAGTCATATGTCGCCCACGCTATTCGGTATGCGCTGGGTTTCAGCGGCACTCCTGCCACTATAGCATCCTGAAATGTAGCAGACGGTTAAAGTACCCTGAATAACTGCATTGTCATCTTGGCCAGCCTGGAGATCTAGATCCTCCGAGTGAGTAGGGACTGATAAACACACGAGCTTTCTGCAACTTATGATCATCTATTCAAAATACCACAAGGATGGTTGAAGCCACTCACTTAGAATTAAGCGAAGCCGTGGCCATGTCAAGGAAAACTAAGTGCAGAAATGCTATGCGCCTTCCTATGGATGCAGACCTAAGGTTCAAGATTCATCCCGTCGCGGACCCTGTTCCAGTGAAATCCAACTGTCCCGCCCTCCCCACTTCTTCAAAACCCCGAACAGGCGACTCTCATCACCTATAATTGACAGGCACGGTTTCTGGGGAGGGAGATCGTCGATGAATTTTCGGTCTGAATGCCGGCGACGCGGAATATCTAGCACCATATTCACGTTGAATAGCCCGGCCCAGGCAAGCAGTCGCTCGCCCTTGTTGTTGGGGTCCAAGGCAGCTGCGACATGAAAGTTGCACCATCTTGGACATTGACGTGGCATGCTTTGTAGAATGTGTAGTCAGTTCTATTGATCTTGGTGCCATCATGAAAGTCAAAATAGACTTACCAGGAGGCATGAAACCAGAGAATCCCGGCTCACCGTTGTAGATATTCCTGTTCTAGCCTGCCGTGGTTTGCAGATAGCGCTTATGCAGTGCTGGCTCTATACCAAGAATGGGTTCACAGACTTAGCGCTAAAGCCAGGGTTTTCGTCCCCGAAAAACTTAAACATGGCCCTCTCGGTCTCTACTTTGCTTGCCGCGTACACGTAGGGAGCTCGCTTCGGCTCATACGGCGGCGGTGCCCATGCCTTTTCCAAGGCAGCATCATTCCAGGAGTCTTCCATCACAGTGACTGGAACTCCGCCTTTAGGTGAATACGCAGCGCCAACGGACGAGTTGTAGACGAATCTCTTGACCGAGGGCTCCCGGGCCGCAGCACGGAGGAGGCTTAAGATGCCTTCGACCGCCTGGGGAATCACCTTGTTCGGGTCTGGGCTGAAGTTGAAAGGTGTTGCAAAATGTATATTCTACCATCTTCCGGTTGAACCATCACCTGACTATCCGGAGCAAGTGATCTCAAGCTTTAACATCGGTATTTTTTCCCCAGAAAACACGGAATTTGTTCAAGGTCTAAACCAAGATTTGGCCGAGGTCTGGCTTGTTACGAGGAAGTTCTCTTTGTTAGAAACCCTGGCGACACAGACTAGGATGCTGATCCAGCCTGCGACAATCTACGGAACTATGACGTCGATCATGTACCGCCTTCTTCGCATGGGCTTTGCCTTTACATCCGGCACGCTCTATGAGAAATTGCGGCTCGGTCTGTTAACTTTTACTCATCATATTTTCTTACAGTGGCAGGATGTTAGACTTGTACTTAGTCACGTGACCTTCGTTCCGTCGTTCTTCCGATGCGGGGTCCCGTGACCCTAGCGAGCGTGTCCACTCTGGCCTGCCAACAGGCCTTCTTTGTTGGTCCAGGTTTAATGGTTCGTAACATATATAAGGCCCTTGTGGCCGCCGTTCACTTCTTTCAGGACTCTCCAGAGATCATAACACCTTCAATACAGGACCATTGGCCCACAAACCAATAATTCTTTAACAAAAAGTCGTATAATATAGCACCTATAATATTAGCGTACTATTAGCCGCTCTTTACACTACTAAACTATTATCCTTACATAGTACACCTACAACACATACGAGGTAGGATATATAGTTATTATATTACGAAGCCCCCAAGGTTATGTTATATTATAAAGGGACCCGAAGTACCCTTAGAGATATTGACGACGGGCAGTGAAACCACCCGCAGGTTTAAGGTGTGAATATAATGGCAACGAATAACAAGATCCTCAACAAGACCTTACTATCCGGGAGGTGGAAAGAATTAACAAGATCAAGAGCTCCTTGCCCTGATCGGAACGACAAGTACCTCAACAGGTACTAACAACTGTAGCCTCAGCAGGCTGGGGAGGAAAAGGAACCTCAACAGGTGAAAGATGGGAACAATGGCCTCAACAGGCACAGTCAGATCTATAGGGGAACAGAAAGTACCTCAACAGGTACGTCAGACATTGAATGCCTGTCCAAGTAAAGAGAAATTGGTTCAGATTACTGTGGAAAAGGCCGCTTGAATTCCTATCTTTTTCTCAAGAGAGTGACTATGTACACAAGGTCTTAAATACCCGTTAAGAACACGCTTACATAATTCGTCTGAATATCGAAAAAGAAAAACGAAAAAAAATAACACCCAAAAAAACCCTAACCCCACGTCAATATACCGATGACCGATTGAATAGTACTAATACCCGGAAGAAAAGTGCATAGTTAGATGACGAAGATCGTAGGGTAAATCTGGTAGCGGAGACTTCCGCGTATTGGACCTAATTATAGCGGGTATCTGTCTGAACCTGCTGTGCGCTATGAGAATCCTGTAGTTTCGGACCATGTTCCCACTGTAGCTTCCCATTGTAGCTTGTGCGGGTGTCAGGGCTGATCCAGATCCCGGGCGGTGGGCAGGCCATCATCGCGGGTGGCGTGCTGAGCCTGCTTTCGGATCTCTCCGACGAGGAGCAGCGAGCCACCTCGTTCCTGCGTATGCACATCACAAGCCTGTTTGGCAACCTGGCCTGGCCCCTGGTGTCCGCGATGATGGAGCGGACAGGTCCGTGGCCTTGTCTCATCGTTGCCGTTGGGCTCCTGGTCTTGGGCAGCGTGGTGTTCATCTTCGTGCCCGACAATAAGCGGCAGCACGAGGCGAAAGACGCAGACGACCAAACCGGAGACAACAGCATGCAGGCCGTGCAGCAGCTGCATGAGGCCTTTAGCATACTGAATTCCACCTCGTTGCTGATCCTCTTCCTGGTCGCCCTGACGAGCAGCCCCGTGGGCCCGTCGACCCTCGCCTTTCTTGTGCAGTACGCATCGAATTGCTTCAGTCTCCTGATTTTCACTACGGGATTTATCGACAGACCGGCTATGGCGATGTCAACCTGGTTTTCGTGGTGCTTGTCATACCCTACATCCCCCCGTCTCGTCCTGGGATGCGAGGTCCTGCGGCGCGTGCCGGGGCTGTCCAACGAGCGGGACCACGATCTCGTCCAGGCCCCTAGCGCCGCGGTCCTGGGTCTTGCACCCAACTTGCCCGTGTTCTGCGTGGGGATGTTGTTTCTAACTGCCGGGTCCGGGTATAGTAGCTTCACGCGGTGTTTGATTAGTGACTATATCGAACCCGAGCATCGCTTGCGCATCTTCGCCCTGGTTAGCATGGTGGAGATGCTGGGTAACATCTCCAGCCAGCTCATGCTCCTGGCTCTCTTGTCGTTTAGTCTGGAGCTGGGAGGGAAGTGGTTGGGCCTTCCTTAACTGGTTCTAGCGACCATCTTGGTTGTCTCTACTACCCTGCTGTTCCTCTCCCGGTTGCCGACAAGGTTGATGCGATGAATGAATCGTCGTCATCAGATGTGGACGAGAACTGACGCGCTGATATGCCAAGGGTCGTAAGAATGACAGGGAATTGATAGTAACTGCTCCTATAACTTGATGACTTGATGTACATAATTGTAGCAATCCCAGTTGAGCTCTGCTTGTACTTTTTGTGTAGCCCCCCGACAACCCTGGGGCGCCGTCCTGTCATCGATAAAGATGTCACTGTCTCTAGTCCCGGGGACATCTTATGGTGTACGAAACGATTTATCTTGAACGCCTCGCCATCCACCCTGTCCGGAGTGTGTCCGCCGATACGATGGTCACGTTGGGCTCCAATCATGACTCGAAGAGGAAGGGTGAGTAACTTGATGTAGATGAGTTCACCCGCACTCTGGTCTTGTCATCTCGAGCAGCATCGCAGCCCAGACCCCTTTCATCACAATTCCGTGATCCCCGCGAGTATACCAATGCTCAGCGCTATCGCGACGCCGAGCTTTTCGGATCGTTTCATCTGCAGACTAAAGACAAGCTTCCACAGCAACAGCGCTAGGACGAAATCACAAAGCACCAAGTACACTAATCTTCCATCAGCAAATGTGTACGTCAAAAGTCCCAGGGAAACACAGGCGAATGACGAGCGCTGAACACCGAAAAGGTGATGGACTGCTTCAGAGTCCAGCAGCGGCTCTCTAGATGCAGCACATCACTCCAGCTAGGAACGCCGCAGATGGTCTGCCAAGTCGCCATCACGTGGACGGCGAACTGCAGGTTCATGATGACGATGAGCATCCAGATGGCCTTGGCTTCCCAGCCCCCGGGCATCAGCCGCAGGAGCGTGAAGGCGAACGATGGCTTTGTCGGCCCCAATGCAACCGACTGCAGGTCCAATTGTGCGCGCGCGAGCGTGATGATAAGATGCTGGACGTCAGATAGACGCGTATCAGCCACGTTAGGATGCAGGCTGCGGCGAGCAGAAGACTCATGCCTCCACAGCCAGTCGGCTGTCCACAGTCCGATGCCGCAGTTACGCAGCTGCCGTGTGACGTAGGTATACAGCATGAGAGGAGCGCGATAACAGGGGTCAATTGGGAGGAAAACTGAAAGCTGCCTGTCTCCTTCTCCGGCAGCGCGGTCGATGCTATTTGATGACGACGCCGCTCCGCAACCAAACGTCATCGTAACCACTATCACCGTCAGCGGCTGAACGTACATCACATATTTTCCTTGTCAAAGGTTCAATCCAAACTTCGTTCCTAACGTGGCCTATCCATCACCCCGCCAATACTGATAACAGCAACCAGCTTATTTCCACCTCCTCCTGCGTACATTTTGGTCCATGACAGCGGCCTGCTGAAGGATTTAAAGCCGAAGAAGAAGGTCGATACAAAGAGCATCTAGTCCGCCAGTTTTGATTAGTCGGGGTTGACAACGATGGGATCAATAAGCGCGAGGGCGCGAGGAGATGCTTATCCCCTATGTGGAGACGTGCGCCACCACTTGCATATCACTGCCTGATAGGGCTATGGTGCCCGCTCCGTGTGCAAGGCTGGTGAAATTCAGGACCGGAGAATGCGGAGACGCGTCTGGGATGTCTGATCTGCTGAGATGAGAGGCGTTGATCCGACTGATTATACTTGCGAGGGAAATATGTCGTACAATCTTGCAGCAGCTTCAGCGCCCGAATAAAACGGAATCTTTCATATAGAGTGCTTGCTGCCGAAATCGGACAACAGGGGTAGTAGGACAGTCCCACCTTCGAATCCCCGGCCAGAATAATCGCGGCTTAAAATCGCACCCTACCTAACGCTAATAAATAATATTATAATCTCCAAGACGAAACCTAACAATATTAAGGCATAGCATTTGCTTATTCTAGTTACTCACGTATTTGGAGTCCGTAGTCTACGACTGTAAAGGGCCCGAAATATACCGCGGTTATAACGCATTTCGGTTTATGAGGGATATTTTCAGTATAGATCTAACTAATACAGCTGTTCGGAACTTCCTTATTAGTATCACCTCTTAAATCAGCGATAAATACCTATTAATCGCTTCCCTTAAGCACTTAAACGAGCGAATACAGCCTTGACTTAGCTCGTATTACTTAACTAAACGTAAGAAATTCGCTAAGCCGGACCCGAATAAGCTCTTTACACAATACGTCAGAGTGAAGACCAAGCTCTTCGACTGATAGACTAAAAGATGTTAAATTCCAGTGGATTTCTAGTATTAGTCATACTAACTGCTATATACAGTACTCTGTAGCTATGTTATCGCTAAGCACTGCGATAACTATCTGCCTCCTAGAACACTGGTCCTGAGGCTTTATCGGAGGTTTAATACCGGATCGTCGCGATCCGTCAGGAACCCACACGCCGCGTACGGGAATAAGCTACCGGTCATGAAACCCGCTAAGTGCGGTACATACAGCAGACCAATGGTCACATGTACATCCCTGCGCTCGTCGGCGTACTTTGGGAGGTAGTTGCCGCTGACGGTTAACTTGTTGGGCCATGCCTCCAGCATATTCCCGGTTCAATACGCCACATATAGCTCGACACAACCACAATTCGAACTATTGTCGTCTGGACTCCGCTAATATCGGGCCGTACACCGTGATCTACTGGCATAATTGTCAGGGAGGACCGAGCCTCTCGGCCAATAGACTAAAAGATCTTAAATGCCAGTGGATCTCTTGCAACGGTCCTACTAACTGCTGTATACAGCATTCTCTGGCTATATCATCGCCAAGCACTGTGATAGAACATAAGTCTATGTAGAAGGCCTACTCTACTATTGGAGCTAAGAATGCGGCGAAACGGAAGAAACAGTTATTCGGAGGAAATGTGGGATGAGGAATACGTCAAATATGTAAAAAAAAAAAAAACGGGGAAAGTGTAGTAATGCGACACCTTATTATAGCTATGGTTGTGTTCCTGTAGCGATTTGTACATGCGGTGGAACTTTCGGCCGTGCCTGTCCGACTTCCCCTGTCTGACTTCGGCAGCAAGCACTCTGTATCGCGATCCTCCGGCCAGAGCTCCCCGAACATAGGCATCTCTCCGATCATGGATGTATTGGTCCCGGCTCCGGGCAGAAGCGGTAATAACGAAGCCATATAGCCCACCAAGCATACTAATCTCAATAACGTCCCACACCCACATCCGGGACACACCCACATGTGGGACACCCAAAAATGCCTCATCAACCCGCTAGCCTCTAACTTCAACCTCTCTTTTCTTTACCAATATCGATTCAATCGTTACAAAATTTTACGTACGACTTCTTTACACTAATATGAGTCAATATACCGAAGATGATATTTATCGAGCTCTTCAAGCAATAGCTACCGGTCAAAGCCTCCGAAAAGCAGCATATGAGCATGGTGTCCCAAGGTCTACTCTTTCACGACGGATTCAGGGAGCCCAGTCAAGAGATATAGCCTTCGCTGACTATCAGAGGCTCTTTCCAGCCCAGGAATCTCATCTGGCTGAATGGGTTCGAATCCAGGCTGCCCTAGGCCTCCCACCAACCCATCAACAGCTCAAAGACTTCGCCGAGCGTATCCTACAGATCCACGGAGACACCGAACCACTTGGAAAGAACTGGGTCCAGGCTTTTATTAAGAGGAACCCTTCAGTCAAGGTCCAGAGAAGCAGAGCTATCGATTCTCAGCGTATTAATGGAGCCTCAGCTAATGTGATCAGGCAATGGTTCAAATACCTCGCTATCCCTGAGATCAAAGCTATTAAGGCCTCGAATCGATACAATATGGATGAGACAGGTATTCTGTCAAATGGTCTTGTTCTAGGATCATCTGAGACTCGTTCTATACGGAAGAAACAGCCTGGATCTCGAGCTTGGATATCTCTTATAGAGTGTATCTCTGCGACTGGTACTGCACTACCCCCACTTGTGATATACAAGGGGAAGTCTGTCCAGCAGCAGTGGTTTGCTCTGGACTTGACTCCATACGAAGCCTGGAGGTTTACAGCAACAGAGAATGGGTGGACGTCAGACTCTACGGCTATTGAGTAGCTACAAAAGATCTTTATTCCTTTGACTCAACCAGAGGACCCTGAAGAGACTAACCTAGGTTACTTATCCTAGATGGGCATAGTAGCCACGAAACGACAGAGTTATGTACCTCTGCTTCATAAACAAGATACACTTGCTTTTCTTGCCGCCACACACATCCCACGTTCTCCAGCCTCTCGATCAGTCAGTCTTTGGACCCCTCAAGGCAGCCTATAAAAAGGAGCTTGGTTACCTTGACCGATGGGATACTACTACTGTCGTAGGGAAGAGAAACTTTCTCCTCTGCTATAGAAAGGCACGTCTAGCAGCATTGACCGCTAAGAACAGTACCAGTGGATGGAAATATACTGGTCTCTGGTCTTCGAGCATAGCTAGACCCCTTATGAGCCCCCTGCTCCTTGAGAATACGTCATCACCAATCAGACAGCCTAGTCAGACTTGCAAAGGGTACTCTAATAGTAAGGGTAGTCAGGACTGGGCGTTAGAGACATCAGCAGTAGCCTGGTCAACGCCTAAGAGGAGAGATAAGCTCCAAGATCAACTCAGCTTATTCAGCAAGCTTGATAGTGATCCAAATACCCAGCGACTACTCTTTCGGAAAGTTCAAAAGGGCTTTGATGAGAAGGACGACCAATTAGCTGTCGCACAGCGAAAGATTGAGGCTATAGAGGCAGAGCTTGAGGCTAGTAGGGCTAGGAAGCGGAGGAAGGTCAAGATGAACCCAAATTCGAAGTTTACTAATATCAAGGCTATTCGGAAGGCTCAAATCGAGGCTGGTGAAATTGAGGATAGTACAGATGAGTCTAGCGAGTCTGAAAACCCTAGTGACGGTGAAAGCTGTATTGTAGTTGCATTAGAATAAGTGTAAAAAAAGGTTGAAGTTAATGGTTATAATATACAGTGTCGTTTTTAGGGCGTCCCACATGTGGGGGTGTCCCGGATGTACGTGTGGGACGTTAAGCCATTCCAAGCCCGGGGAAAATCGCAAGATCTTTTCTCAAGTTACATACTACACCTAATCGTTGTCTTGGTGTTATCTGGTTTCGATTCTTTTCTGTTAGCATTGAAGAACGGAAAATACGCGAAATTGCGAGACTTTGTGCGATGATTTGTTACTGCCGCTCTACTACGGCGTAGGGGATGTAGCTAGGAGGGGAGCATCCTAGGACCATATAGGGCTGCTATAGGACCCTGATGACAAGCAACCTAAGGCCCTTGTCAAGGTCAGCTACTTCCTGCATGCACAAACGGGGGCACTTACCCAAGTAGTCGGAAGGAACCTGATATATTTTCCAATCAAAATAGACAGCCCAGTACTCCGTAGCGAGGCCTAAATGATAAATCCGTCCACATTCACAGTCAAATCAAGCAACGGCCCCGATTAAAAACACTTTGTAATACACTAGAACCAAACGGTCAAATTCCGACAGTCAGCTGAAGGTATTGATTGCCATAGATATCAGCAGCCCATCGTGGAATAATACCGCAGTACGACCTCCAATCAAACGCCATAGTGGGCACACGAAGTCCGGTCACGAAATGCAATCAATCTCGAATAAGAAGCCTTCTGTTCCCACCATATCGCATCTTACAAATTGGCATCGGCACATGTGTTAACCAGAAGTCTTCCGTTCTTTGCCTTTTCCGACCCGTGTCATTCTTTTGAGTTTGAGTCCAACCAAACATGTTAGGAAGAGATACTCTTGGCGCATCACTGGCCTTCCTTGGCCACGTGGTCGCCCAGAGCTCCATCCTAAACAATACCTACTCTACCGATGCCGCAACTAATGTCACATCGATAACAGGTATTAAGGCTGTAAGTCAACAGGGACTTCTCTCCTTGGTTCACTTTCGGCTGATGGTGTATCTATGTACAGTGCGACGCTCTCTTGAACGCCGGACTGGGGAGTATTTTGACTTTTCCAACAGAGTCTAAGTACGAGTCCAGCGTGTCGACGTATTACGCCTACAGCAACCGGCTACTCCAGCCCTACTGCATCGTCCAGCCGCGGTCGACACGGGAAGTCTCGACTGTGCTAAAGACTTTGAAGGTGACGAGTGCTGCGGGTAATTGGGACATCGCCGTTCGCTCTGGCGGCCACAGCGACTACGACAACAACGCCGTCGCCCGTGGTGTGACCATCGACCTTGGCAATTTCAATGCGACCACACTCAATAGCACCAAGTCATACCAATGGGCCGGTAAAAGCGTGCTAACAAAAGTAAGTCCTTTTCCTTCGTCTATCGTGACACAACGCCGAGTTAGATCTGACACATCTGACATTCCATAGTCCATTGCCAGCATTCGTCCTGGAGCAAGATGGGGTAGCGTGTACAGCTACCTCGAGCAGTTCGGTCTATCAGTCACAGGCGGCCGTTCTAGTCACGTCGGCGTGGGTGGTCTGCTCGTGTCGGGGGGCGCATCCTACCACACGCAGTTATGGGGGCTGTCGGCCGACAACATCGTCAACTACGAGGTCGTCTTGGCCGACGGCAGCATCATGAACGCGAACTCCTACCAAAATGCCGACTTGTTCAAGGCTCTCAAGGGCGGAGGCAGCAACCTGGGCATCGTCACTCGGTTCGACATGCGCACCTACACCGTCCCCAACAAGGTTTACGGGGGATTGGTGGTTTTTTCCTTCGACTACTGGGATGCAATCGTGGACCAGTTCATCAAATACGTCAGCTCTATCGGTCAGAGCGGCAGCCCCGACCACGAATTCGTCGTCCTCGCATGGCCTCAGGGAGGTTCGGCGCTTGCGACCATGCTGATGACAGTCAGCACCGACGGGGCCACAAACTCCTCCAACTTTGCCCCTCTTAACAACCTGCCAACGTCCTATGACGTTCGAGCGTCACAGTCGCTCAGCTCCGTCGCCGAGACGATTTCCGACACAGGAGGCGCCAACAACGTCGCCTACACTCTGACGCTGCAGGCCACGAGGGAGATGATGCAGAAAGCCACCACGCTATCCCAGGACCTCATCCAAGAGCTCACCGACCTGGGCGTCCCCGTGAGTGGGAACTTTGTCTTCCAGCCTCTACCTAAGATGCTCGCCTCGATCAACCCGGGTCGGAATCTCTTCGGCTTCGACGAGAACCTCCCTAGCAACCAGATCCTCTTCGAGGCTAGAATCGGCCTGCCCGCCGGTTCCGAGTCGTACGAGGGTATCGTGGCGGCCAAGTTGGCCCCCGTTATCGAGATACTAAGAGCATACTCGGCCTCGCTGCCTAATCATTCGCCGTACCTTTACATGAACTACGCAAACCCCGAGCAGGACGTCATCGGATCGTACGGGGCTGCGAACGCTATGATCCTCAAGGAGACGGCTGCTAAGTACGACCCGACGGGCTTCTTCCAGTACCGCATCCCTGGCGGGTGGAAGGTCAGTCGTGTTACAATCTAGATGTTGGACCTTCAAGGCCAATACAGCCCGCGTTGCCGGCTTGAAGATCCATCCAACCACACAATGTACGTTATAGTGCCTCATGAACACTCCCATCATACCATTCATATCCTGGCTGCCCGGAGAGCGCCGCTTATTTCTATGTATATAAGGCCCTTTTGGCCGCAGTTCACTTTGGGAAAACAAAGGGGTATCTACAGAGATCACACACTTTTAATGCAGTATAATTTGCTCCAATCAGCCCAATACTAGGCGATAATCGGGAGAAGGTGGAGACTTTATACGGAATAATGCCTATAATTTATCGCGCTTTTAGGGCTACTTCTACATGAATGAAGGGCGTGCGTAAAGCTTCGAGTCCTCTTCTTGCTCTAAGGCATGAGGGGGGGAAATAGAGAGACCAGCGAACTATTATATGCTTGCCTATTCATTGCATAAGATCTAGCCTCCTAACGTAGATTATTTTCGCGTATTAAAAAGTTCGTACGGTAAAGAAATTGAAGACCTAATACGGGCGTATATAACCTATATCTTGAAGGAGAATTTCTTTCCGGCATTCTATAGGGCCGTTAGTACGACTATATCTGAATCGAATATCCGAGGAGGATTCCGGAGGACAGGACTTGTTTCGTACAACCTGATTTCGCAGCTAAATGCCAAGCCGCGTACGCCTATACCCCCTAGGAGCCCGTCCGGCTTTCTCCCAATCTGGGAATCAGACTCTAAACAACCTAACCGAAATCCAATCCCAGACCGAATACGTTAAAACCAGGATCGTACGACACCAAGAAAGCTCTCCGATAATAATTCTTACAGCTGTTGACCACTTTTCACGGGGCATGACGGCTAATATATCAGTTGGTTCTCTTGAAGGGTGAGATCGCTGCACTTCGGAAGGCGAATCAAGCGCTTAGCCGGCGTCGTACGACTAAAAAACGATGTCTGCAGGATAGAAGATCACTTAGTGATACGTGACCCCATGGGGGGTTACCCTATAGCTATAGATAAGATAGATAACAGGTAGAAAAGAGCTCTGCCAGGCCAGAATAGCTGACCTGGCCATCCTTTCCCAATACAACAATTCACACCCCATATGCACTCGCATCACTTAGTTTATGAGATGGTCCGGACCTCCAGTCTTAACGGGATATTGAGCAACAGCTACAGCATGATTTTCGTGCAAACAGTCGTCGTTCGAGGACGGCTGAACCACGCCGACGGCGCTGTAGGAGTTGGGGAGAGCCCGGACATAATTCACGCACTTGCGAAAATAATGAGACACGTACGAGGAAGAGGATTCCGATCAGTTTCAATTGACTTTTTGGGATTATTATGTTATTTGAGCTGTTCGTATAATGCTAAGAGAAAGTTAGCAATTTACTTGTGGGGTACGTTAACGTTTGTAAAGAAAGTTCTAAGACAAGGGACTTATTTAAGAGCTGCCACTGAAGCTCTTACCCATTCCACTTCATCATCCGCGCCAAGGCTTGTTGGGTTGAAAAGCCAAAGCTTTGGAATTTGCAAAAAACTTGATTTGCAATTGTTAAGAGCAACGCACTCGTAAGTAAACCTGCAATGCTCGCTGGTTGGACACTAAAACTTGTAGTAGACAAGAAAAGATGCGAGTCCAATTGTAACTACAGAGTATTTCCTATGTTGCCGCAGAGGTATCTCAGAAGCAGACGGTGTTTCGTGACCATAGCAGTCAGACCCTACAGCAAAGCCATTGAGCATTCGACCAAAGACTCGATATCTTGGAATGTATGCTTTTGAAGCAATTCTAAAAACCTGCAAAGCAATTCCAATACAGAGATACCTCGAATCAGCGGCTATTTAATAATATGCAATGTAGAAGGCGACAAGCACCTCGCATCAGCATCGAGGATTGGCTTTGTTATGGATCTTGGCCCAAGTGATCAAACTATTGATCGCGTATCAACCCGGGTGTCGAACTTATTACGAGCTATAGCAAAGCATAAGATTGAATGTGTCTCTGATCTCCCAACTCCAAAGGAGTGAAGTTGGCCACAAGGGCCTTAAGTACAGAAGAGTAAACGATGCAGGCAGAAATTGTGTGATACGGTGGATAGTGGTGTTATCGGCCCATGACGTACGTTGGGTAGCCATATGACCTCAAAAACTGGCAAATAGATTGTAATGCCCTTGAAGGTCCGACACGATCTATCATCATTCAACTGGCTGTACTAGCAGTAAACCGGAAAAGACAGTTACTAGAAGTAGAAGGCTAGTGCAGTCCGACACCACGCTAGCCCACAGTTGCATATTAGCACAATAAAGCGTATACCAGACTCGGTGCTATGAATTATTTTCGTCTCGAACAGCATCGGTAGGGACATCAAGTCTCTCTTCATCCAGGCACTAGCGTCACCAAATGATGTCAGGCAAACAGGAAACTATTCCATTCTACGCGTAGGTAATTCTGAGTGATACTGATCATCAAGGCAGTGGAAAGTAATTACAAAGCAGTATGCGAGTTGCAAGTTCCTCGTAGAAGCAGGCGTGGATCTCAACCCAGAGTAGGTTCAACTTAGTACCCCTTTGCCAAGTATGATGCTGATATATGATCGTAGAACTGCAAGTGAAGGACTTTGTGCTTTGACGAGTACTTACCGACTCAGAAAAGGACACCGTTAAGTGTCTCCTGGATGGAAGCGACTATATCGAGGATCAGGACTTTCCAGTAATTCACAAGATTATCTTTCAGATTTCGCTTAATCAAAAAATGACGACCAAACCACTGGTCGTGTTTGACATCGATGCTAACGGGCGCACTGCTGGGTTGGGTAGCGGCTCGAAGAGACGAGTGCTGTACACTGACTCTCAGTCGTGGTGCTGACCCCAGCGCCATCCATAAACCAGGTAAAACACCTCCATACCTGGCAGCGAATGAAGAATGCATTTAGCAGCAGGGGCATCGCCGAATACAATCTCACCGAAAGGAACCCCAAGTCGCAGCTCTACGCTACTGCGCGCCGCCATGAACGTGGCCGATCCCCTGACTCCAAAAATGCTACTCAACTTCAAGGCAAACATAGAAGCCAGAAGTCCTGATGGTGAAACACCGTTGATCATCGTGATTCGTTGTACGACAACGACTCATGCCTCACTTCTCATAGAACAAAATGCCAACCTGGATACCTGCACTAACAACGGCAAGACAGCCTTGACTACAGCCATCTAGGCCAACAATTGCGGAGTCCTCCAATCACTGCTTAAATGCTGGTACAAGTATAACACGTGCCCTCGACTAGCCACGATCTCTTCAGCGTAGCAGCTGATTTGGCTGATATCGAGACGATAGAGATTCTATCACCGGCCAAGCATTTGAAATTTCATGGTGATAAGCGATAGCACATGGATGTGCTAAATATCCGAGTCACTGAAGATGAAGGTTACTAGCACGGCATGATATGTTTGAGTATACCCCAGAATGACGCCGACCGGCATGCATAAACAAGTGTAAAGATATCCGACATTTGAATAGCTGTAGCAGGATAATTTACCATTGTATATTTCCCTCTCGGAACAATCCCCTCAGGTTAGCTCTTAAGGGTCCACCTAAGCTTATACATAAGAGAAATATATATCTTATTTAAAAGAGAACCTGGTATATACGACCATAGGCTGCAGAGAACTCGGGATCCCGTCCGCTCTCCTATAGATAAACTGCAAACCGCTAGATTAGTAGGTAGGTGGGTGACCACCAGCGAATCCCTGGTGTTGTATATTTTTGCCATATATTTTAGTTCTAGTTATCTTAAAGTTGTTTGCTAGATATTGTAAGTATTAGTACGCTTGGTTTTAGCCGTGGATGGATATCGACCGCCCTTGTTCTGCATATCTCTAGCCGAGGTTAAGGGAGACTCTAGCTACATAGATTGCAATGACGGCAGTTCCTAATACATACGACCATAGGCTGCAGAGAACTCGGGATCCCGTTCGCTCTCCCATAGATAAGCTGCAAACCGCTAGATTAGTAGTTGGGTGGGTGACCACCAGCGAATTCCTGGTGTTGTATGTTTTTGTACCAAACAACTATTTTTGGCATCTAGGGTGGATTCGCTCTATCTAGCCAGGCCTTCTCTACCGCCACCCACCTAGGGGCAAATGCCTCCAGCTTCTTATTCGATTTTATTTTTCTTCTTCTTTGTCACCTACAATACGTCCTCCGTTACCCCGGTTCCCTTCCTCCTGTTATTTTACAGCTATAAGCCATGCACATAGCCAGGATATAAAGGTTATGATGCAGTGTATTTATAGGAAGTGAGTGTGTCTGTCTGGAAGAAGACTGAGCTCTAACGGATATGGAATCTAGATAGACGCATTAACTTCCTCGAAGGAAAAGCAGAGACAGCAAACTATCAATCAATATATTAATTATACGTATATCTAGGGTTGTGGTAATTGTTTAATCAATTGATGCGTGCACCCAAGGGGGAGGATGCTATAATGCAGTAGTGCACAACGTTATAGTATCTAATTGAATGGGATTCACCTAATCAGTGGGTCCCCCTACCTTTTCGTATCATCAATACAACTAGTGTCGCAGCACCCACTACTATTAGTCGTCGGGTTTGCGAACGATACGAACCTACTAAGCGTCAGCACTGATACAGGCACGGCCTGCCGCCTGCAGAAGAAGCCTGGGAAACATGTCAGCGGTGGGCAAAAAGACATGAGATGGAGTTCGCCCCGGAAAAGAGCGAATTGAGTCACTTTACTAAGGCCCGGGAGCCCTTACGGCAGACTATTCGCCTCGGAGACGCTGCGGTATCGCCGATAGCCTCGGCAAGGTTCCAAGGGGTCTGGTTCAACTATAAAATAACGTAGCACGCCCACATAGAGCGTATCAAATCAATAATAGCAGCTCAGAAGCTAGCTCTAACAAAGCTAGTTAATATATCATGGGGCTGCGACCTTATTCGAGCGATGCTGTCGTATACGGCGGTTATCCGCAGCTCAATCGCCTCCGGGGCGACCGCGTATCATACTATAAGTGACAAACCGTCATGGCCAGTCAGAAGCTTAATCGGAATACAGAACGAGTGCCTCCGGGTAGTCTGTAGCGCATACAAAGCGACACCGGTTCGCCACCTGGAGGTAAAAGCAGCAATCCCGCCACTAGACTTTATGTTAGTACCCGGGGGCTTCGACCTTACGGCGCATCTAATAATAATAATAAATATAACACGATAACCTACCTATTATTAGACAGCTACATATCTTTTAGTTAGATTAGCTATGTAACTGAGCCAAACCACTGCAGATGCTCGTATCTTACTCAGAAGACTCAAGCACCCCTCCCCTCCCCTCCTCCTAATATTCGATCCATCGTGCATTTCCCCATAATAATATTGCTTACAACCATTGTAGAGCTCAGTATAATGTGGCGGGCCTCTCCCGTCACATAGGACTGCTTCATCGAAACGCTTCCCTATCTGAATACGAAAGAGTGATACCCATTTCGTGGACATCCTGTCAGAGCCACAAGTGTCATCCGAGGCGGGCCGGCTTCCACCAGGTAGGAAGCCGTTTGTGGCGGCTAGAGAGCCGCTTGTGGCGAATGAGAGCCGTTGAAGCCGTTTGCAGCGGATAGGGAATCGCTTGGTTGCAGATAAGGAGCCGCTGTCCAAGATATTGGCCGAAGTCGGAGGAACACAGACATACGGAAGCAAACATCCAGAATCCAAGAGAGAACCTCGGCTGGCTATAAGTAAGGAGTCGAGACGGAGGAAGATAGAGAGGGCAGAGATCAATGCATCACCGTGGGCACCCCTACCTGAGACCGCCAGTGACCACCCGGTGCTACGTAGGAGGGACGCCCGTTACTCCCCATCACTCTGTACTATTGCCTTCGGCCTAGCCGTACCCTGACAGGATGTGATTCGAGTTAAAAAGGTGCTTTCTTGAACTCCTAGAGCGTTTATGTTTTGTGTCGCTTCTGAAGGGTTTCACGACTGCAATACTAGGAGGTTCAGAAGCATCTGTTCCGATAGAGATACCATAAAATTTATATATAAGATACAGAATTGAGCTTCCATTGATACTTGTTGCCCCGCAGGTACTTATCGAATGGAGTTTCGGGTGTGCATGAATGCTTCTTACTAATATATCGTCGAGTGCTAGCACTCTTAACAAGCCAATAAATATGCTCAAGAATTCTCTAATAGAATCCAAGTGCAAAGAGTTAGCTATCTCGACCTTTCACACTGCTGAGGCTTAGTTATACAATTTTATGTTGTCCGGTAGGTGCGATCCCTCATCACCTTTCTGTAAAATAGCCTCCAATGCCTGGTAAACATTAGCAAGATGCACAGATAGGTCAGATAGCCCGTCTAAAACTCCAACAACAGCTTCAGTAGTTGCTGTTTGGTTTGAAAACGACCCGGCGGTGCTTATTGATGCCTTGGAGTTGCTGGCACTCTGACATAGCGGTAAAGCTTAGCTGGTAAAGCTTAGCTAGTAAGCGAAGTGTCGACAGTAGCTCAAGATACAAGAAGAGGAGAGAAAACATCGTCGAAAATTAGCTGATCGGGGTCAAATACCTTCTCAAGCTCGCTTAATGAACTCGATTTTGGAGTCATAGGCTGGGTGCGCCTATTGTCACAGGCATCATTACTTTTCTTGTTTGGCTCTGTGCTGGATCTCACATTGTACACACACTCGACTCCGGCCCTTTGGCAGCATATGTAATCGGGTAAACGAGGTCTTATATCCGAGACACAGAGCCTTCTGTTGGTGGCATCGGTCACAAGACTTCCGTAACGTTCGACCATCGGTGTGTCCAACATTGGCAAGATCCGCTGCCCAATCCGGGCCGGAATGATGTCCGGCAGCCGTTTCTGGCGCACTATCATGTTGGTCGACTGAAAAAATCGAGCTACTGTGGCTCATGGTGGACGCGGGAAAATTAACGATGCCAGCCGCATTCAAAAATGGTCCGAAATGGCTGATGTGAGTGGCTTGCAGCTACGTTGCCCTGTACTGCCATATATGTTCTCGCTGACTCTCCTTGTGCAGATGGCTGGGAAATTCATTTTCGGCCGGAAATAGATACCGGAAGCTTAGGGATGTCGCTGAGATCGGTGTTCGGTCCTCGGGGGCCCACGGCGCCTAAGCGGTATCGCATAAGTTATGCGCTTCCGCTTTTCCCGCTCGGACTCGGTCTATCAAAATCGAAGATCGACGGAAAGTATCTGAAGTGCAAGATGATCAACATTCCGATTCCGCTTGCTTCAGTTTCACCATATATGTTACACTTGTCGTTTGTAAGCCGTTCGCCGTCCTAGGCTGTTGTCCTGCAAAGTCCCTGTAACGTATCCTTGCAGCACTTCCACCTACCATCAGAACATTGGCAGCCATGGCGACAGTGGATTCAAAAGAGCTCGACGATCGCGCATGTTACAATTTCCCGAACACCGATAGTTCCCGCAATAGTCCCTTTGCCGAACCACTTGCGCTGGGTGCCAGGGATACGGCCATGCCTAATAAGAACTCGGTTCATGACACGGATTCCGTACCCAATGGCGGATTTACGGCCTGGTTGCAGGTGCTGGGCGGATTCCTCCTGCTATTCAATACTTGGTAGCAGACTCCATGCGACTCCCTTCACGTTGCAGACGAGCTGACCATGATGTAGGGGAGTCATGAATACATTTGGTGTTTACCAGACGTACTATGAGTCCGGTGAGCTTTTCCAGGAGTCGTCCACCAGGATCTCATGGATTGGCTCTGTTCAAACCTTCTGCCTTCTCTTTTTCGGTACTTTGACGGGCCCAATCTTTGACGCAGGCTACTTTCGGGTCCTGCTCTACTCTGGCTTCTTCATGTTGGTTTTCGGACAGATGATGCTCAGTTTGTGCACTACTTTCTGGCAAGTGGTGCTGGCTCAGGGTATCTGCATCGGAATTGGAACCGGACTATGTAGGTCATGTCCCGAAAATTTCTAGTCTTCTTATGGCCAGCACATTTGGGAACGGTGCGAAGAAAGACACTGACGTCCCAACTTCTAGTATTTGTGCCAAGCGTTGCAATCATCTCGACGTACTTCACAACTAAGATTGCACTTGCAATGGGGTTTGCTGCGTCGGGAAGTGGCATGGGTAAGTCGGATGCTTCCACAGATCACTACTTGGAACTCGAGAGACCCAACTGAATCTGGTGTCTCTTCAAGGCGGTGTTATTTACCCCATTGTGTTCCATCGCCTTCACCCTGCCATTGGGTTTGCATGGGCGACACGTGTCATTGGCTTCATGGAGTTGGGCACGCTTCTGGTACCCCTGGCCGTCATGCGTGTTCGCACTCTACCGCCGAAGGTGCGAAAGCTAATCGACTGGTCTGCATTTTCAGATCTGCCATATATCACCTACATTTTGGGAACCCTAGTAGGCTACATGGGCTTATGTGAGTCAAGATATTACCATCCCTTCTCCACTGTATCCATTGAGTTTCTAACACCAATCTCGTGGGGCAGTCGTTCCCTTCTTCTACATATCTTACTATGCCATCCAGCAAAAGTTTACCAACGAGAATCTGGGATTTTACATGTTGCCAATTCTCAACTCTGCTTCGGTATTTGGCCGACTGCTACCCAATATTTTCGCCGATAAGCTTGGCGTTGTCAACACCATGATTCCTTGCTCATTCGTTACCTCGATTCTCGCCTTCTGTTTAATCCGAGTGGACAATCAAGCCAGCATCATTGTTTGCACTATCTTGTATGGTTTCTTCTCCGGTGCCTACGTGTCCTTGCCACCAACTATCATGGTATTTCTCACGCCTGACCGATCTCTGATCGGTACCCGCTTGGGACAAGGGTTTGCTACCATCAGTTTTGGAGTTCTCGTTAGTACTCCAGCCGCAGGCGCTATTCTGAGACAAGATTCTTGGACGCACATATGGATTTACTCCGGCGTCTTGTTGTTTGTTGCTGCTTGTTCTTTCGTTCTTGTAAGAAAACTGAAGGGCTCGGGCGGTGTCAATGTCGGCCACTAAGACTCCACAAATGAAATCGTTATTGTCCTTTTAGAGTAGAGAGCTAATGATCTAATATAGAGACTTCTAACGCGTTATTTCTCATGTGAGAGAACATACGATCTTTGCCTTGTAATTCTGAAATGACTCGACAAGATCAATCGTCTCTTCGGCGACATGACGAGACAGCAGAGTATCAAAAAAAAGGGCCCATCTTGGCCGTCTCTAGTTCCAACACCTGCAAGAGAACCTTCTTTCGCGCTTCTTCGTCTAGAACATAACCGCCAATAGCGATAGGTAGGCGAGAAGCAGGAGACGCAACCTCTGGTTGGCCATTGCTGGACGTTTCGAAGTTGTCAGGGCTGAGACAAGGCCCGTCTCTGAAAAACAGGGACTGCTCTTTCGACAGATTCCAATACAGATCCATGACCTGCTTCCCAATGAGGGCCAGGATGGAGAGTATGTTACTATTGTTGGCGCATGAGCATGACAGGGTCTCAAGCGCGATGTCGATGACGTTGCGGCTGATCTTCAGCGTAATATCGACGCCATATGAGGGGTTCATTGGGCTCTGCGCGTCACCGCCCTGCCGAGAGCAGCGTGACACCGGCATATGCAAGCTCTCAAGGGCCACACATAATCGCTCTATACAATGACCTCCACGGCGATTTGCCTGGCACAACTGCAGATCGTCTTTGGCGTGCTCTCCCAATGAGAAACCAACACCCAGTGGGGTCAATGCCATACTCTTCTCAGTCACACTTGGAATCTGATCCCGCTCTGGGTATTGTCGATTGTCAAACATGAGCATGAAGTCATTCGGGGAGCTGTCGTTTACGCTCTCGTTTCCACTGGCGAACGGTTGGATAGCTGACATGTCCATGTCTGCCGCAATGTCCATTTGACTCGGGTTGAAAAGTTCCAAAAACATTGCGGATTCCGACAACACCGGCACGTTCCCCCCGGGGCTCTGAGAGGTCGATGTTTCCTTCGGCCCGCCGCCGTCGCAACCTTCGATTTCAGGCTTCTGGGTCCAATGACTGGCCCAGGAAGCGCTTTCCCCTGAACCGTCGGACCCGGGATCCGCAAATAATTGACGCGCTTTGCTAATCCGGCGTTTCTTGCTGTAACGGCATTCGAGCTCGCTGCGGATGCATCTCTGACACCGAGGCCTGCCACGATCACACTTAACTTTAGACAGGGCGCAGAAGTCGCAAGTTGCTTTGAGATCTTGAAGGTTTGGGGGCCCTTCTTGGCGCCGGGGTTTGCTGCTGCCAGTGCTGGCGCTCGAGGTCATGATGGGCAGAAGTATAGGCAGGACGACGAACTCACATGGCTTGCATGGAGCTCGCGAAAGAAAAAAAATGGGACTCGGCTGAGATCTCAGGCCATACCTCGAAATGGCACTAACACGATGTAAAGTATAGAAAAGTGGAAATTTACCCGAGGCCGTCCACGGGTTATTTCAGAGGTTGTATAGAATAGGCAAGGCACCCCACTAGCTACCGGCTACTTCCTTGGAAAACATGTCACCATTTATCTGATATGGTTCATCTCTTGTGGAGCTTATCAGATGGGTTGCCTGATGTGGTTCGTCTCTTGTGAAGCTTATCAGATGGATTGCCTGATGTGGTTCATCTCTTGTGAAGCTTATCAGATGGGCTCACCTGCGCGATACTCAGGCTGTCTGTTTCTGGACGAATAACCTCTTCCTTTGTCCAAATGCAATAAGCAACATGTTGCATCCATGTAACCGCATTGGTTTGGGTGCCATTGGCGCTAACGAATTCCTTAATCGTGCCCCACGTTACGAGTCGGCATATCCGTGCTAGGACGAGCTCGCCACTCTCTCCTTGAACATTTTTCCCGTTACGGAGTAGATTATTAGTCATGAATACTTTATTTTGGGGCTAGTCCTCTTCGACAAGAAGCCAGTAAACGGCTCATGATTGACTTCTGCTTCATATATCAGCGAGGTGTGGCAGCCATTACGGCGGACACGTCTTAAACGGCAGACTTAGTATCCGTTCATCGTATGTTTCACCCCCTCCTCTCACCCCCCGCGGGTAATGACGAAGCGGTACTCGCCCTTGTTATTCGCACTGAAGCACTTGAGTCATCCACTGGCATCGGTCCGTCCCTCTCGCGAAGCTACCGAGCCGACGTTCCTCCCTCTGCCCCTCTGCCCCTCTGCCCCTCCCTGCTTCGAAGAACTTCCCAACAGCTACCCCAAAGCTACCCAGGGCAACATAGTCGCACCATATTTTCCTATAATGAGCAACAGAAATAATCCTCCACAGCGTACAACACATCCACCTATCCGCAGCTGTACTTTCTGCCGACAGCGCAAGATAAAATGCGATCGCCAGAAACCTTGCTCGAATTGCGACCGTGGCGGCCGTGGTCTTGAATGTGTATACCCTCCTGGCCCAGGTCGGAGCGCCAAACGCCCTCGACAGCCCATAGACCCCACCAAGGTGTTCAACCGCCTAGACCGTTTGGAATCCATGATCAATCGCCTAGGAACCCAAAATTCTTCGCTACCACTTGAGGCTGCTGATGAAGATTTGCTTTCGCCGGCCGAGAAGCCACCTTCAGTCATAGATGGCGCTGATCAGCCAAACAAAATCCAGCCCAACATCATCGACCAGCAGCTCGGAAGGCTGGTCATCGACGACACAAGGAGTTATTATGTCAGCAATCTCTCCTGGGCAAGTTTGGGCAATGAGGTATGCGAGATCTAGTCCCCATGCGATCGGATGGACGTATTTCTCGGAGAGAGACTGAATCATCACAGGTCGAAGAACTGCGCAACTTGTTGGCCGAGCCTACGTCTGAGGAGGGCGACTACCCGCTCGAGTATAATGCGACGCCCTCGTCCTTCGACCCAGACGCCTCAATACTGGGGTTCGGACCTGTTTCCAATACCCTCCAGAGATATCATCCCCTACCGTCCGAGGCCATTATATTATTACAAGTTTTCAAGGAAAACGTGGCCCCAGTCGTAAGAACATTGCACATGCCGACGACGGAGCGCATATATCAAGACGCTATAGCTGCTCTAGATTCATTGGACAGGAACGTGGAGGCTCTCATGTTCGCCATCTACTATTCAGCTGTTATAAGTATGCCGCCTCAGCAGTGCACGACCATTCTAGGTATGTCTCGGGAGAGCCTACTGGAAAGGTATCGTTTCGCTGTCAAACAAGCCCTGGCCCGCGCCAACTTGCTGAAGACCGAAAGTATAATCGTCCTACAGGCTGCTGTGCTCTTCATCGAAAGCGTCCGCAACGAAGACGACAGCCGTACAGTCTGGTCTTTGACTTCGCTCATTGTCCACATCGCGAAGGCCATGGGATTGCACCGGGACGGGGCCGCCTTCGGGTTGAAGCCCTTCGAGACAGAGCTGCGACGACGGCTATGGTACCATATTTGCCTTCTGGACATTCGATCATCCGAGTACCATGGCTACGAGCCCATCGTTAATGGATGCGGGTTCGACACAAAGCTACCACTGCATATCAACGACAGCGACCTGACACCTGAGATGGCAAGCCCCCCACCTGAAAGGGAGGAAGCATGCGAGATGACCTTGTGTCTCATCAGGTCCGATTACATGCGCCTAGGATGGAAAGTCAACTTCGCGCCACCTTCCATTGTCAGTCCCGACGGCGCAACCAATGCAGGACTCAGCAGGAACGACGGGCATATGCTGGTGGAGAGATTCGAAACCCGCTTGCAACAGCGCTACCTCTGCCACTGTGATACAGACGAGCCTTTCATGTTTCTCACTTCAGCCATTGCTCGTCTGATGATAGCGCGCTCAAGGATCAGTGTTCATAAAACTGTGCACCGGAACAGTGCATCGAATAGCACAGAACATGACAGCGATACGCGTGACTATCTGTTCCAGAAGAGCATCGAGGTGCTCGAGGTTTCTTCCCTCCTGCTGACCAGCAAACACCTTACCAAATGGACATGGCATACGGTGTGTACTTTTTAGTCCAAACCTACTGCCGAGCAGCACCGTCATGTTGATCAATGCTGACCAACCTGTCGCCGTACAGAAAACACACGTGCAATGGCATGCGGTGGCTTTTGTGCTGTCTGAGATCTGCTCCCGCCCGGCAGGCCCGGACTGCGATCGTGCGTGGGGGTACGCGTGTACCTTGTTCGACGAGTGGAAAGTCAAGGACAACGCTAGGAGAGGATCTTTATGGCGGCCCATCAAGCGACTCCTGGCGAAAGCTCGGTACGTGCGCGAGCTGCAAACCGTCTCTGGGCTGCATGACAAACATTATGACTCCCAAAGTGCAGCGACTTTGATGCAGGAGTTTGAAGGGAGCCCAGAAGATCTGGACTCGGCTAGCACCAACTGGGAAAGCTCTTCGTCAACAAATGACATGTTCGACGCGTTTGCAGCAAACGGTACGCCAAACATATCAGGAATGGGATATTTGGATCCATTGGTCGCTCCTTTCTCAGATCCCATGTGGCTGAACAACTACGAATTCTGAAAGACTATATTCGGGCTCTTCACTGAAAACGGGTATCTTCCCCCATGTGCTGGCTCTGAGATAATAAAGCCGATCTTATCAAACTAACAATCCCGTCAATTCCCTTTCGTATTGACTCTGTTCGCACATCTAGAGCGAAAAGTAAAACCCCAAGGCTTAAGGCTTCTTCAGGCTTAAATCAACGCGAGCCTAACCAGAACCGGAGCATATGAATGATTGATAGCGATAACATCGCCCCGCCTGTAAATGGGGGCCTTTTCCGTGGAGAGGTACATTTCTGTTATGGATATCATATAAGCTGGGAAAACTGGTCTGTGCTACGCCATTCGGCCGACCAGCACGTTTGGTTTGTCGCTAGAGCTTTTTTACTAACAAGCTGGCTTGTTATAGCTCTAGTAGTACGTTTATAAAGTTAACATGAGTAGCCCTGTAAGTGCAGGAAAGCATTTGGCAAGTGCTTCATCTAGCATGTAGTGTAGCTAGCTTATGAAGGCCTACCGTACGCTCATGCTCTCCTTACGGGGGTGTTTCACCTAGCAAAAAGTCGAAAGACAAAGGTACAGCTTACTCCAGGGATAGGAGTGGACGACAAGCATTCAGCAAGGTGGACGTATCGAAGCGTACCTTGTAGTCCCTGCCGTCACGGTCTTGACGGAGCGGACTGCAGCGGACCGGAATCGGGTTATACAGCAAGTGCAGTGGCTACAAGCTATCCATATTTACGTTGTTATGGTGGCAGCCATTACAGGCTCGCACACCGCTTGTGTCTATTTCGGAAGGTATGCTCTAGTTACAAGATTCCCCTTTGTGACGAATATCGCGTTTATGACAAGAAGTTGATTGCAACAAGTTTGTATTTTACGAATCTCGCAGTAGATACCATAAGTTTATGTATTTGTCAGATGCCGATCTTTCCTCGAGGTCCGACGTACCAATCCCATCGAGATTCCAGGCCACGTGCAATGCATCTATACCTTTTCACTACAAGTGCCGTGATGGGCCGACTCGCCAGATCTCGCAAACTCTTGTTATGCGCCTCCGAGATCTGATCGCCGAAGCAGCAAAACCGAAAGCCGACGTCCGTTCGGTTTTGCGATGCTAATGTCTGTTACCCGAAGTGCGAGATTCATACGTCCGGGGCTAAAATGGCTGATCTTGAGCCCCATGTAATTGGTCTCTCTTCGGAACGTAATTTTAGCTGCAGTAAACTTTCCCGATAATATATTGAACCTTGTTCTCATTCCGATAAGCCGACTTCTGCACCCTCTGCGCTCGTGTATTATCGTACCTCTGCGAATATAATATCAAGATGGCGCCGGGCTGGAATATGTCCGATCCAGACGTGTTTACGAAACCGTTCAACTTGACCCCAAAATTCCACCGTGATCTCTACCCGTTCATCTCGCCCGAGAATCCCCAGAACTCGCAGGAAGGTAAGATCGTCGTTGTCATCGGAGGCGGCGATGGAATCGGCGCTGCCGCCGCGCAAGTCTGGGCTCGCGCCGGAGCTCAGGGCGTGGTCCTTGTCGCGAGACGCGCCGAGACTCTCCAGAAGGTCGGTAGCGAGATTAAGGCCGCGAACCCCAAGGTGGAAGTCGTGATAGCGCCCACCGATATTACCAATGGGGACGCCGTCAAGGAGATGTTCGGCAAAGTCAACAGCGCCTTCGGAAGACCTGCGGATGTGATGCTCAATGTCGCTGGATATTCTGCCGAGAACGAGATGGTCGGAGACACCGGTGTGGAGGAGTGGTGGAAAAGCTGGGTACGTTGAGGTCGCGAAAGGCCTGCAAGAAACGTCACTGATCCACCACAGAATGTCAACCTCAAGGGTTCCTATGCAGCGATCCACCATTTCATCCAGTCGCAGAAAGATCCCAAGAACCCGACCGGTACCGTAATCCTGGTGTCCGGAAACCGAGCGGGCCTGACGGAGCCCGGGCACTCGGCATACAACATCTCTAAGCTCGCACAGCAGCGGCTCATCGAACATATCCACGCAGAGTACCCCACCCTGCGCGCCTTCACTACGTCGCCAGGTATCGTTCTGACGAAGCAGATAACGCCCGCTTACATGAAATACGCCGTCGACCACCCGCAGCTGCTCGGCTCCCTGACGCTATACTTGGCGCAGCCCCGCGCGGATTACCTGCGAGGTGATTACGTCAGTGTCAACTGGGACATGGAGGAGTTGGAGACGTACAAGGATGATATCGTAAAAAGGAAGCTGCTGAAAACTTCATGGTTGCCCATCATGCCCATTGGAGGCGGAACAGGGTTGGGTGGCAGTCTAGCCCAGAAGTAGCTCCTAGTTATGAAGCCGTGTAAATAGAGCATACGAGATTCTCGCAAACGGGATACCAAGATTTGGTTCATGTTTTTGTCTTTCTTACATGTTCAGGCAGCCATGCGAAGTCTTATTGTGAAAGTCACGAGACGGGAATCACCAGGCCCCTCTCCAAAACTCGGTTCATGCCACTAGAGTTGCTGCGACCCTAAATCTTGAATGGTGTTCAAATTGATAGATTGAAGGCTAGTGGCTAGCCTAATAGGGGCGGTGCATAGCAGAAGTGAAGGCAATCCACTTGGAGGACAGGATAAATGAGAGAGCTCCGGTGAAAAGTCAGGTCCCTCGTGAAGGCTTGTTTACTTCTTCACATATGAAGAAAGCATAGTGTCCTCACACGTTGCGGTTTACGTCATTCAGTTATTGCTGACCTTGAACGTTTGTCTCTGATAAGCTCTGGATCTTCTCTCTGCCAATCAGATGTACACGGTCAGTATTCTCAAATTCCCACCAGTTCCTTATTGTTGGAATACTTCTGAGTAGAAAACCGCTGTTGAAACGATGCGAGTGCTTCATCATAGAACTTTCCCCTCTCAGTAAGCGTAATGCCATTCAATGAAGGAGCACCGATAAACTCCATAAATGCCCTGAACAGCCAGTCCGCGGCGGTTAGACTCTGCAGCTGTTGATAAGCCGCCGAAGTCTTTTCCCCATGCGGGAACATCTGAGTCCGGCAAATCATTCCTGCCGTGTTCTGGATCTTGGAAGTGCGAGCCTTTCGCTGTTCTGAATAACGACACAAGGCCGCTTTCAGGACGTCAGCAGGAATCTTGCTGTCCGGACTCTGGAGAATCCCGTCCAGTTCGTTTAATAGGAGAGCAACGGATTCTATGGCTTGATTACCTCCCATTGCGGCGTTGGGAACCATCTTTTTGATATATAAAGTCAGTAGACGGACCATGGGAAGTTCGATAAGACGTGCCTTGTGCGCTGCATCGCCAACAAGAACGGCACGGGCCGAGTTCCAGGTTTGGGCGATGCCCTCCTCCAAAGCAATCTTCATACTGACTGTTCGATTGGCGTAGATATCGCTGAACAGCACTCCAGGGGCGACTCGGATGTGGGCTACCGACCGGCATACAGCATCCACATCTTTCGCGGTATAGCGAGGGCTCTTGGACAGAGGAACGGTCTCACCGAGATCCTCCAAAACGAACCAGAACACAACACCGCCTTTGCCCGTGAAGCTGAGGATGGAGGCCTTTTCTCGGTACACGGAGAAGCATTCGCCCTCTACTATGGCGTCCATAGGGGGAGAGATGCCGTAGGCACAAGCGAACTGCGTACTCATATCTGGGACATATTTCAGTGGCACACTATTGAATTCTCTGTCGAGGCTAGCCTACAGTCGTCTGATTCAGCATGGTCTTCAACCTGCACCGAGTCGATGAATTTTCGGACGGAGCTGCGGACACCATCGGCGCCCACCAAAAGGTCGGCTGTAATCACAGTCCCATCGGTGGTGGTGACAATGGCTTTTTCTTCATCTTCTTGGAAAGATGGAACGCGGCAACATAATTTGACCAAGTTGTTGCCGTCGAGGCCTCGTAGTTTGTTGGCCATGATGCTCAGAAGCTTTTGGCGGTCTAAAACGACGCTATCATATCCGAACCTGCTATAGTCAGAACACCAGTGGATCTAGACACGTTGTCCAAGACGAAGCGGAGATTTGGAATAACAAACAAGCACTGACTTCGAACGATAATAGCTGAACGCATTCGTCTTACAAAGCAGCTCTCCATCCTCGTCTAAATGCCTCCATATCTTCACGGGGGTAGCGTATCGCTCGATTTCTTCATAGACGCCTAGCTGTTCAAGAATGCGTAGTCCGTTGGCCTGGAGCCCAATGCTCGCACCGTCGGCGGGTGCCAGACTGTCGCGGGCTTCGAAGAGGGCGTATTGGATACCATATTTCTCACATGCCAGTGCCAGAGTCACTCCAGCGATACCGCCACCTATGATGGCGATCTGATAGTGCTCTGGTTTATGCGGTGCGATTGAGAGCATGGTGTGAGTGTTTCAACAGTTAATGGATTCAGGGGTTACCTATCGAGTGTGAAATGTCCCCTGTCTAGAAACACAATTCATGGAATATGAGTGGCGACTAAAATTTTCCTTTCAGCCGCAAATTGTTATGTATGCTCGGTACTCTCCTCTCTGGCTGAACAATTCAAGGCACAAGGGAAAGGCAAGATCTTCGTTGCATGCGCATCTTCTGTCAGGAAGTGGCCAGAACGCCGGCTTGAAATTCTCTGGCACGCGTCATGGAACCACAACCGACGGTTGTGGCATGATCCATACTCGGAGGCGGTCGGGTCTGGTCGGAATTTGTGCCTGACAGGCCTAATCCAAATGTAATTGGAAATGCATGGCAAGGCAAATGCAACCCGAATCAGGAGACCAACTCTTTTATTTTGTAAAGTAGAAATCAAACAGACTAAAGTCTTAGAAATGTGTCCTGTAGTGGAAACATGAGGTGTCAGTCATTGGCTCACTATGCAGCATCACGAGTTCAGCAAGGCAATAAAGGAGGGCACATGTATGATGCAGTGCTCAGAGCTTAACGCCGTAGGAAATAGGGACCAAAGAAATTTTATCAAGCAACGAGAGGCCTCCATAAACATCTCTTCTCTTGCGCTTGTAGCATGTAATTTCACGTCATATCGGTCTGGAAGCTTGTAGTCTCTTGTCATGTATAGATACTGGAACTGTAGCACACTGGTTTGACAAGAGATATTGCAAGCCCAACTGGCAAGCTGGCCTTTCCACAGGCTGATCTACCGAGCCAGTTCAACTTTGATCAATGCCAAAACACTTCCAAACGGTTGAGAAATGGTTGAGATCTTGAGGGTCGAGTCAACCTTCTCGAGAATTGCCTCCCAGTCTTCGACGGCACGCTCTTGACTGTTAAAAACTTGTATCATGGTCAGATCACGCACACGAATGATGCGCTCGCTTGACCGAGGGACGGATTCCGGCGCGGGCAAGACACTGTCCATGATGACGATACTCGATTTGCTCCGCATAGACGGAACGATAGCCCCCAGGATCTTGACACAGTTTTCAAAGTTCCAGTCGTGTAAGATCATGCGGAGCAAGTAGACATCGGCCCCGATCACCGGGTTAGTCTCGAAGAAGTTGTGCCCTTGATACTGGATGCGACTGGAAACACTGGCATCGTTGACACCCTCCAATATCTTAGGGCCGCCCTCGACGACTTCTGGCAAGTCCTGCACGATGAAGTTGAGACCGGGATATGCTTGGGCGAGAGCAATACACGAATGTCCGGTGGAACCACCCACCTGGTAGAATCAGAAGATTAGAAATTTTGCGTGCAGAATAGCAAAAAGTGCTAGGCTTACATCAACAATGGTAGCTTTCGGGTTGCTTCCCCATTCTAGCCCGTTCACAAGATGCTTCATGTGGGTACCTTGGTTCGTGGCGACAGCCCTCATGTAACCAGCAAACTGCTTATGGAGCGCAGGGTTCTGAGCAAGCCGGCCAAAGAAAGAGAGATCGTGGTTGAACGCAACGTTGTACGCTGTGTGAATCTTCTCCTTGTCGTAGGGCCACCGCTTGTGGGCCTCGACCATGCCGGCTGCGACAGGGGCTGACACATCGGTCGCGTAGACAGCCCAGTTGTGGTAGTCTTCATTTGTGGCGAACAGAGCGGAAGTTGCAGAATGAGAGATCTGCTGCGGTGTCTGCTCTAGGAAAAGCCCCGTCGTCATAGCCATGCGGACTACGCTCTTAAGCCGAGTCTCAGTGGTGCCTGCCAGGCTGGCTAGGTCGGTGTATGAGATCTCGCCTTTCACGGGCACCAGTCTGAAAATATTAAAGTGGCAAAGCCATTGCAGGCATGCAATGTAATGATACTAGATTCATCAGTGAGTATGTTTGCGCTGTACCCCTATCTCAGGGTTTAGACGTACTCCTGGCTGTATATTGATCATGTAATCACTGGGACCCGTTGCAAGCTGCAAGAGTTTCAGGCATTGATCCATGATACGTTCTCTGGCCTCTTGTGCCCCCAGAGGTGCATCATGTGGGACGACAGTAATTGGAGTGTTCCTATCGAACGAAGGCTGGACACCTCCAGTAGACCGGATATAGTCACTAAGAGCTTGAACATCACTGACAAGCTTCCTGGTCAAGTCCTCCATTGGGGACGATTCTGTCAAAGAGTGAGGCGACATTTTGACTGAATGACTGTAGATGAAAGTATGGAGGCAGGGTTCTCGATGTTCTCGATTGATAGATGAATGCAACGTTCTCGTCTTTCGTTTTGTTCCACGTTTTGATCGCCCGGCGAGACGTAGCTTCGAGATAGAAAGAAGCCTTTCAGTATTCTTTCTGGCATGTTGAGCTAAGATAAGTTGGAAAACCGGCGTATCTCGTTCTTCGCCGGCCTGATGCGGACTTGAGGCTTCGGTCTTGTCGGACTATGGCGGAAATGTAAGTTGATGAGTGGACCACCCGTTCCTGTTCGGTCCAGGTCGGTATGCTCGGCTTCCAAATCTGGACCCTTCTTCAGCTTTCAACTCGGGACTTTTGCCCATCGATTGATGAAATAGAGGCCGAATAAGTTAGCTATAGTACTCAAATACGTTAGCAAATAAGAAATGCTTAGAAGTCAACTCCAAATTCAACTTTAATCATACGCAAAATCAGTAGCTCAACCTCTCATCTTGTGACAGTGAAAATGAATTCCCAAGTGGATATCTACGTCTTTGGGGACCAGACACTTGACGTCTCGAAGAAATTACAAGGTCTCCTTGTTTCTGATTCTACCTTGTTGACTGAGTTTTTCGATGGAGCTTTTCGTACATTACAGCGTGAAATATCACGTTTGCCGTCATCCAAGAGGCAGGAATTTCCACGGTCGGAAACCCTTGGGCTTCTACTAGAAGCGATTCAGAATGGCAAACGGCATTCAGCTCTCGACAGCGCATTAGTTACCATTTACGAGATTGCTTACTATATTCAGTGGGTTTTGCTGTCCGGATAGTTGTTCCAGTACTAATATGAGGCCAGCCTAGTAGCCTCAACAGAACGACAACATCCTCCGCCCGCCTCATATTTCTTGGGATTCTGCACAGGCTCGTTTTCTGCTGCTGCCATCAGTTGCGCTAAGACCATCTTCGATATCAAACAAGTCGGGGTACAAGCCGTTGCTGCTGCTTTTAGAATTGGCTATCATGTACATCAGAGAGCAGAGGCCTTAGGGTACTTCGAAGCGGAGTCATGGTCAGCAGTGGTTTCCCATATTCAAGAGATCAAGGAGGAGGGCTTGATAGAGGCCGTAGTCAAGTTCTGCACCGAACAGGTGAGCCACATCATTTGGTATATGACGATCCAGACTTCCTTACTTACCAGTGATCTCTAGGGTCTCCCACTATCGTCACAACCATACATCAGTGCTGTCGCTCCGACCTCCGCGACAGTCAGCGGACCACCCACGGTGCTACAGAATCTGCTTTCATCCCCAGTCTTCTCTGGCATGAAATCGACCCTCGTCCCTGTCTATGGACCCTATCATTGCCCACATGCATACTCAAAGTCAGATGTCGAGCAAATCCTTGATTCGGTTCTAGACGGACTCGAATTCCTCGACCGGGTGGCTTACACGCCGTGCTTATCATGCGCCTCACAGACTCACGTGAACGATTCCACTCTTGGTGGTCTTCTACGAGAGTTTGCAAGCCACGCTCTTGCCAAACAAATGCGCATAGATCAAGTTATCGATGGCCTGTCTGAGCTTCCAGTAGCAAAACTGATCCCGGTAAACACCCAGATGCTGCCAACTCTAGCAGCTGGGCTGCGCCGGAAAGGAAAAGCTGTCGAAACCGAAGGAACTGTCCCCGCTCCTACTCAGACCAAGTCAGACTTGGATTCACAAAAGATTGCGGTCGTTGGCTTCAGCGGGCGATTTCCGGAAGCCGATAGCATTGCAGAGTTCTGGGACCTGCTCCAAAAGGGTCTGGATGTCGTGAAGCCGGTACCTGCAAATCGGTTTGATGGGGACGCCCATTTCGATCCTACAGGAAAGCGCAAAAACACGAGCAGAGTCAACCATGGCTGTTGGATCAGAGAGCCCGGCCTGTTCGACACTCGATTTTTCCAGGTCTCGCCTCGAGAAGCCAGCCAGATGGACCCAGCACAGAGACTCGCTCTTCTCACCGCCTACGAGGCTATCGAAATGGCCGGTCTCGTCGCGGATCGAACGCCTTCGACCAGAAGGCACCGCGTGGGTGTCTATTTCGGCACGACTAGTGACGACTGGCGAGAAATCAACAACAGCCAGAACATCGATACTTACTTCATCCCAGGGGGTATCCGGGCCTTCATCCCTGGTCGGATCAACTATTTCTTTAAGTTCAGCGGGCCAAGCATCTCGGTCGACACCGCTTGTTCGTCGAGCCTGGCTGCCATCAATATAGCTGTCGCGTCTCTCTTGAATAGGGATTGTGATAGTGCGATCGCCGGTGGTACCAACATCCTGACTAACCCAGACAACTTCGCTGGTCTAGACCGAGGTCACTTCCTGTCGACTACAGGAAATTGCAAGGCCTTTGACGATGGAGCAGATGGATACTGTCGCGCGGATGGCATCGGGACCGTAGTGCTCAAGCGCTTATCCGATGCCATTGCCGATAAAGATGTCAGCACTGCTTCAAGTTTGTCAAGTCAGCATGAATACTAACTAACCTCGTCCTAGCCAATCTTTGGGGTCATCATGGGTGCAGTCACCAACCATTCCGCCGAAGCAGTTTCCATTACCCGGCCTTTAGCAGATGCACAGGAGTACATCTTCAAACGCCTGCTGAACGAGACGGGTGTTAATCCACACGACGTGTCATATATCGAGACGCACGGCACTGGAACGCAGGCCGGCGACGCGGTGGAGATGGAGGCTATCTTGAATACTTTTTCTTGGGATCACAGTAGAGCCTCGAATAAAGCCCTACACCTGGGCTCCGTCAAAGCCAATGTAGGACACGGAGAATCTGCGTCTGGTATCACAGCTCTGATCAAGGTCTTGTTGATGATGCAGAAGAGCAAGATACCACCACATTGCGGGATCAAGGACAAGATCAACAAACAATTCGCCAAGGATCTGAGCCAACGTGGGGTGCATATTGCACTGACCGAGAAAGACTGGAACCGACCCAAGGGTGGCAAACGAAGAGCCTTTGTCAATAACTTCTCCGCCGCTGGTGGTAACACAGCCTTGCTGGTGGAAGACGCCCCTACTCGTGCTGTAGAAATCGATGGGCCGCAAGATGGGCGATCACACCATGTGGTGACCGTCTCAGCCCGGTCAGCGAAGTCTATGAAAGGAAACTTAGCGGCTCTTGCAAGCTACATTGGAGAGTCTGAGGGTTCACATTTACTGTCTCAGATCTCGTATACCAGCACCGCTCGCCGTATGCACCATCGCCTCCGCTTAGCTTTTGTAGCAACGGACTTGCAGCAATTGAGAAGTCAGTTGACAGAAGCCGCCACCAATGCCACCGAAAACTTGAAGCAGACTTCAACTGGCAAAGCTCCTAGAATGGGCTTCCTCTTTACTGGTCAGGGTGCTCAGGAAACGGCCATGGCTAAAGGGTTCTTCCAAAACGTCAGCACCTTCCACTGCGATATCAGAAACTTTGACGCCATAGTCATGGCTCAAGGCTTTCCATCAGTGCTCCCTTTGATAGATGGAAATGTCGTCGTCGAAGAACTACCCCCAACCGTCGTGCAGCTAGGAACATGCGTCATCCAAATCGCGTTGGCTCGTCTCTGGATCAACTTGGGAGCAATGGCACAGTATGTCATTGGCCACAGCCTGGGTGAATATGCCGCTCTGCATACTGCAGGTGTTCTCAGTATCAGTGATGCAATCTGGTTATGTGGACTTCGTGCCACGCTAATGGAGAAGAGATGCACCGCCGGGACTCACTGCATGTTGGCTGTCAAGGCGTCACATGAACAGTTGAGACTAGTGATTGCTGGGACAGAAGTTGAAGTTGCTTGTGTCAACGGCCCACAAGATACGGTACTGGCTGGACCCAACATCGATATCGAAGAAATCTTACGCAAGCTCGATGAGCTCAAATACAAATCCAGGAGGCTGGCCTTGCCTTTTGCCTTTCATTCGTCGCAAGTCGCACCTCTCCTCGACGAGTTTGAGAAGGCAACTTCTCGCATCACTTTCCATAAGCCCAGGATGCCATTTTTGTCGACCTTGCTGGGCCGTGCTATCCAGTCTGGAGATGTGTTTGGAACTGAACGGTACCTGGCGAGACAATGTCGGGAGTCAGTCAATTTCCTCGGCGCTGTTGAGTCCGGCCAAGCGGATGGCATCATCAAGTCTGAAGACATTTGCATCGAGATCGGCGCACATACCGTGCTGTCGAAAATGATGACGTCGATTGTCGGAGCGAAGGTGCGCTGCTACCCATCTCTGCGTCGGGGTGAAGATACTTTCAAGACCCTCTCAGGGTCTCTGGGTGCACTTTATTCTGCCGGTGTGGATATAGACTGGAACGAGTACCATCGTGACTTTCCCTCTTCGCAAAAAGTCCTTGATCTGCCCAGCTACAGCTGGGACCTCGAGAGGTGCTGGATTCAGTACAATCCCAGCTGGTGCTTGACCAAAGGAGATGCTGTGTCAACGGTCGCGCCACTAGCTTTGCGATCGAAGCCGACAAGACTGAGCGCTTCGGTGCAGGACATCCTTGAGCAAACGGTCGATGAAGACCATGCTCGTATTGTGATCCAATCCGATCTACATGACCCAGAGCTCGCGCAGGCCGCACAAGAACACGTGGTCGGTGGTTTGGCGCTCTGCTCTTCTTCGCTTTATGCAGATATTGCCTACACTTTAGCTACGCACCTGGCAAAAGCTCGATATCCGAATGGACAAGCCATTGTGCCAGATGTATGCAATATGTCCGTCACGAAGTCCCTGGTGGTTAAAGATGAAGCATCACAGCTCATCGGAGCAGCCATGGATATTGACTGGACGTCTGGGCGTGGAAGTATGGATATCTCCAGCGTTGACGGCTCGGGAAAGAGCATCGCCTTACACGGAACATGCGACATTGTTTTCCAGGAGCCACGAGTCTGGCTTGAAATGTGGGAGCGCAACTCTTACCTGATCCAAAGAAGCATCCAGAAGCTACACCAAGGCGTCGATGCATCTCTTACCCACAAGTTTGGCGGTGGGATGGCATATAAACTGTTCTCGGTTCTGATGAAGTACGGCCCATCGTATCAGGGCATGGAAGAGGTGGTATTTGACAGCTTGGGACTCGAAGCCACCGCCAAAGTCCGCCTGCAGCCTACAAAAGGGAAGTACGGGCTCAATCCGTGCTGGATCGACAGCTTCGGTCACATCACAGGTTTCGTCATGAACTCCAACGACAGCCTCGACCTCACAGACCACGTCTACGTCAACCACGGATGGTCTCACATGCGCTGTTCGGAACCATTCATTCCAGATGTCTCTTATCAGACGTACGTCAAGATGCAGCGAGTGGAAAAGGATAAAGACACCGCTTACGCGGGCGACGTGTACGTGCTGCGCGAGGAAAAAATTGTTGCCGTCTACGAGAGAGTCCAGTTTAACAAATTACCACGTCGGATCTTGAACATGATGCAGCCTTCCTCCAACAAGAAAACGGGCAAAATTTCGGCGCGGGCTGCGGTGAAAAAGCCTGAAGTCCCCAAACCGGCATCCAAGGTCAGTGAAAAGATATCGGCCGCACCAAAGTCTGCTCCAAAAGAGTATGGCCGGAAGAGTACCGTCTTTCAGAAGGCTCTTCAAGTGATCTCGGACGAAATGGGAGCGGACCTGGAGAAGCTTGCTGACGATGCATGCTTTGCTGATTATGGATTGGACTCTCTTATGACGCTGACAATCCTTGGCACCTTCCGCGAATCCCTCGCGCTAGACTTCCCTGGATCTCTATTCGAGGACTACTCCACGAAGAAAGCTCTTCGAGACCTCCTGTCTCCATCAATGCCGGGAAGCTCGACTGAGGATTCGGACTTGTCGGAAAGCAAGAGCGACATTGATGGTATCAACACCACGATGACCACGCCGACTGAAACGCCTGCGCATGGGTTTAATCAAGCCGAGGACACTGTTGTTATCATGTTACAGATACTAGCAGAAGAGGTCGGCGTCAGCTTAAAAGAGCTGTTGAACACCGAGGACGTCGCTGATCTTGGCCTGGACTCATTACTATCGCTTGAAGTCCTAGGCAGAGCCCGTGAGGAGTTAGGTATCGACTTGCCACCTGGTTTCTTTCAAGACAACACAACTGTCTCAGAAATCAAAGCTGCTCTATGTTACATCCTGAGGGGAGGAGGAGAAGACGAAGAAGAAGAGGAGCCGCCTGCCCCTATGGCGAAGGAGGCGGCGGTAGCAGCAGCCGCAATTAGCTACCCTCTGGCGACCTCGGTCATTTTGCAAGGCGGAAAGAAGCAGAAGAAAACCCTTTTCCTACTACCAGACGGCTCCGGGTCGTGCACTTCATACACGGCTCTTCCCACTATCTCCCCGGATCTGTGCGTCGTCGGTCTTAACTGCCCGTACATGAAGACTCCTGAAGCCCTGACGTGCAGCCTCCTGGACCTTGTGGGTCTGTACGTCGCCGAGATCCGCCGTCGCCAGCCCGAAGGCCCGTACACTCTGGCCGGCTGGTCCGCGGGCGGGATCCTGGCCTACGAAGCCGCGCAGCGACTCGTTGACGCCGGCGAGACGGTCGAAGGGTTGATGATCATCGACTCGCCGAACCCGATCGGGATCGAGAAGCTGCCGCCGCGATTCTATGAGCTGCTGAGTGCGGCGGGCATCTTCGGGGGCGAGGGCGGGAAGGGAGCGCCCGCGTGGCTGGTGCGGCACTTCCTCGCGACGGTCGAGGTCTTGGACCAGTGGAAACCAGGTCCGTTCCGCGGCCGGGCACCCGCGACGAGCATCATCTGGGCCAAGCAGGGCGTCATCCGGGAGACGAACCAGGAGCCGCAGCCTGGGGACACGAGAGAGATGCGCTGGTTGCTGGAGGACCGCAAGGAGGAGGTCTTGGGCTACAATGGCTGGGACGTTCTACTGGCAAAGAGTATTGTTTCCGTGGCGTGCATGGATGAGGCCCATCATTTCAGTATGGTGAAGGCACCGCATGCCGCTGTCCTGGCGGATTTAATACGCAAGGCGTTGAGCTAGGCTCCCGTGTAGATTCGAGGATTTGACATGAAGTTCTATCCGTGGGGATGTTACATCTTTTCGATTGTCACAAGCATAATTCATTGATACGACTAGTCTCGAAAGATTCTGAACCTGAACTCATCCTCCAGATATCTATATAAACGATCAAAGAAGGGCAAAAGCGAGTATCAACGACGAAAGTGAACCATAGATTGAGCGTAGTAAGAGTGGTTTTTTAAAAACAAAAAAAACAAAAAAAAGAAAGCACGCGTTGCATGAGCATAACAGTTAGTTTAGTAATTTATCATCTGCATGTTGCTGCTGGCATTTGGATTCAGACGTCGACCATCCTGGCTTACGCTTCATAGCGGGCTGCCAACCAACTATCTTAGCTGTTGGTCAAACTAATGGTGCCAATCGCTGTAGCGCTTCGGTCTGAAAATCAGGTTGAACAGCAAGTTGTGAGGAGGCCGGTGCGATGTCTGTTTGTTCCTTGGCCCGTTTCTTGTCATAAAAGAAGCAAAGGGAAATGGCCACTTTGTTTATCCTGAAGACCTATTTGATATATGCTGTGTTCCTGACTTGAACCACTATTGAACTGGCAGAAACGGGCAATGCATGCATTACATGACGAGAGCGTAATTGAACTTCTTTCTGGTTTTTGTTAAAGGCTCTGTTACTAACGACGTCTCATCCCACCTCGAACCAGCCAAACTTATGCCTCACCCATCCGCTACAAGCCGTGATTGTACATCTTGCTGCATGCGTCTGCCTGTCCATAAATCGAAATATTTTAGACGACGAAGAATTTACGTGCAACCTTGGGAAGCTTGATTGACTGGATTGTACTAGCGTCCTAACCAAAGACTAACAATAGGGACATTAGGGAGTTGACGTCTCTAAGACTATGTTACGCGCCTACCACATTTGGGTCCATCCGAGCTTCGCGAAGGACATCCTGCATCCGAGAATACAATATAGCATCTGCTTTCTCCCATCTTCTGCCATTAGGAAATACTACTTTCCGTAATCTGTTCACCCAATGTACGAGTGGCTGGTAGTATGTCGTGAAGTTATTGCGTGCGTTCTCGATGAAGTCTCCTTCATGACCTATTTCCCCCTTCTTCAACGATGCCAGCTTCCTATCTTTCTCGCAATTCCAACTCTCAAATTCAGATGGACCGACGTCCTTGCCGGAGCCATCATAGTGGATGCATATCCAGAATAGGACCCAGAAGAACGACTCCAGATCATGCATGAAAGAGTGCCGCTCCCCCATAAGGATTCCAATGGCCATAAACACCCTCGTGCCAGTTATTCCCTTTGCCCCCGAGGCGCCAACTCGCTGCACTTTGATAGCAAGGTCTAAGTCAATTAAGAACGAAGGCCAGGAAGGGTTTACCTTATCTTCATTAATCATGAGATTGTTGACTGAAATGTCTCTGTGAATGAAACTAGCCTTATAAAGAGACTTGTGACCTTCAATACAACCCTCGAGCGCCGTAAGCAAAGCTGCTCGGGAGCTTGCCTTGTAGATAGGCTTGCCATAGTCACGAAGAACGACGCGCCGATGTACCCGATTTGGTACCCTCTTTGAGGTTGCATGGCTGCCGAACTTGCTCAAAGATTGCGAGAAGGATCGCTTATTGGCCGGGAGAGAGGTACCAGTCTGGCTCAATAGCCGCTTCCGGCTGTTACGATTGCGACTACTCTCCGATGCGTCACGTTTGCCCTCTTCCGATAACGGGATCGACCGTATCGGCTCGTAGTTTTTCGGGCTCGTAATGTCTATCCCCTTCCTAACATTACTCCGAATGTCATCATCGGCGTCGCACACCTGAACAGTCTCATGATGGTAGTGCCGGGCGACGTTAATCACGCCGTTACCCGTTGCGTCATAGAGTAACTCGCCTTCCTCATCTCGTTCTGTATTTTGCCATGAATCCTTGATAACAAGTGGCGTCTGTGGATCTCCTTCGGGATGGGCTTTCCAACTTGTCGTTGCCCGACCTGCTACGCACCGTACCCGTGTTATCACCTTATCAATGAAAATACGTTCTCTCCGGCCGTCCCGTTCAATTACGATAAAGCGCTGATTGTTAATCATCTTGATGGTAGGATCAAACCCAAGTTGCGCCTCGTTCATCCAGAGAAAGCCAAGGATCGTGGACACAAACTGTAGCCCATCGGTGTTTATGTCAAATCGTTCCGAAGCAATCCCCCCAAGCCGATCGAATTCCCATATCCGCATGAGAGATCCACAAAGCGTGAAGCTCAGAACGAATCTACGAGCATCTTGAGCGGCGAACACTTCTCTTGCATATGTTCCAATATCGAGCCATGCCTTTGAAGCTATGTCGGCCATCGGGTTTTTCTTAAGCTCTCCAGGTATGAGGATCTGCGACCAGTAGCATGTAGAGTATTCTCTATCTTCGGGGTTATTTACAAAGCTAACATCCAGCTTACGCTCCGCTGTAGAACCCGGAATCGGAATCGGCTTGTTGGGCTGTACTAATAGTCTTCGTTGCGATGTCGGGTTTGGTTTATATTCGTCTGCAAACGCCGCCAGCTTCTTAGTAAATTTTGAGAACCAGCTTAGAACGTCCGTCTCATTTGCATCTTGAGGCCATCCAGTCCACTCGTCAAAGAAAAGTGGACTAGTTCCTTCCGTACACTTCTTGAAAATAGCCTTGGATGCGGTCTCAAGGTCTGCCACGCCTTCGAAAAATGTCGCGTAGAATCGAGGAACACTAACGCATATATCACCGAGTTCATATTTCAGTGCGCCGTCCATGTATTTGCGATATTCAGAGGAATTCACGAAACTGTCAGTATTCCGAAGCCACGGCGTTTGTTGGAGGGAGGATACAACCGGTCGAGGTGGTGGGGGAAATTCGGGAACGGCATTATAGGCCTGATTCCAGATCTAGTTATCGGGTTTGTTTGTGATCACAGCATTCAAGAGTGGTCTAATGCGGTCAAAATCGAAGTCGTCGTCAGTGATTGCCGAAACGAGTCTTGGAAGCTCGTTGAAGAGAGTTCTTCCGCTCTTGGTAGGGAGTAGACGAGCGGCATCATGGACCTGCAGCAAGCCTAGAAGCTGCAGCCCGAGATTCTGGAGGCCTGGACACAGATTAGAATAGCACCACCAGGAACCAGGGTTTGTATTGGCAATACCTGTATTGCTGACCGTGTCAAGGGATTGAGAAGAATTCAACGAATTGCGGAACATATCCAGATGTTTGCCAAAAGGATGAGCATGGATGATATCTGATATAGCTTGATCCATCATGGCGTTGTGTCCGCAACTCACACCCTCTGCGGAAGATGTTATTGGCGAAATGAAGAGGAGCACCAATCGACAGCCATTTTCTAACCCCAGCTTAGCCGCATGGACCGCCAGTGCATTCCCGGAATTACCTCGGGATTTCAATATGACGTATTCCATGATAAAGCGGGCGACGCCATGAGACAATCAGCAACTGCACCAGAAGTGTCAAACGGTCAGAGGGGCGCGACTGACCGGACATAAGAAATATGGTGGTTTTTTGCACGGTTTTCTTGGAGTTCCTTATTTGGCCCGTTTCCTCCCACTGCCTCTTTTACTCCCGCAGGACAGATAATACCGTCACAGGTAGCCCGCCTAGAAGCCTGCCTTTCGCAGTGGCGCACTAGACGCGTTGGGAGTTAGACCAGTCCCCAGTATCCTCGCTTCTAGCGTAGCACTGACCTGGACGCCCCCCGTATTTCACTCCAGGATCGACGCAAGGTCCATATTGGACTTTCTCGACGACGAATCGGCTCGGGTGCACATACAAGCGACGCTCCCCCAGTTGCCAAGATGACATATAGATCTCAGTGGAGCCAAGATCGATCGACAGTTGGGGTGGTGTACCCACCTCTTCCAAATCTAGACAAGTAGCCTCGGGCAGGATTAGCCCCACGTCTCTGGTAGCCCGTCAAACTCCTCATTCTGCTCCGAGGATCTAGATCTGGATCAGATGGCAGATGAGCTTTGGCCAATGTTACAACAGGATCGCAGGAATGCGTCCCCACTCTACCGACAGAGTAAAACGGCGAGCAAAACGGCGAGCAATCATCGTAACGGAGGATCCAACTCTAGTGTGGATACACGATTGATTGATTCTTTGAATTCAAGGGTCCGCCAATACCTCATATTTTCGGCCGTTGTTAGGTTCGTCTGGATCGCCGGACGGCGCTGGGTTGATTGCTGCCGACGTTAGTCTTTATTTCGCTTGGGAAAGGGGTGGAATGAAGCTAACACTGATCAGTATGATTCTGGGGGTTCAGATAATCGCAAGTGGGACGGACTCATTCCTAAATGCGGTAATCGAACGCACCAGCCGCCAAAACCTCCAGTTACTTCTGTCACAATTTCCCAAGATATATTCCCCTCAGTACGCTGCTTATCATTGCCTGGAGGGACTTGTAGAGACTAAATGAGTAAACACGCTAGCTCCTGTAGGCAGATGGGCCATTTTCGCTCAAGAGGATTTTGAAAGGTGGACGTAACGGAGGGCCCGAGCGAGGCATCTAGGAAATTCTTTCGCATAATGCGCATGCTATGCCCCACTTGTTCGTGTGACTCAGTGCAGAGTGTGCACCTAGATACACGCATTGCTGGTCTCGCCGCGCCTACTTGCTTCTTCCGCGGTAACAGTACAGTCCCCATCCGTTGTCAGCGTGCTCGGGTTTGAAGTAGGCGCATCTGGTTAAGGGCGCGTGTAAGGATATCGCGACCGGTCTCGAGCACCTCCATTGCAGCAACACTCCCTTTACCAGCACTTAAGGCGACGGCAGCTGCATCCGAGGCCATTCCGGTGACTTGGGACAGAAGGTGCTCCTTATCGGTGTTCTGGAGTGCCCCAAGGGCTAATAAGGGGTCCAGCCGGATCGTAGTCTGAGCGATGGTGTATGCTCGTTCCACGTCTTAAGAATAGTCGAAGAAGACAAGAGCTTTCGACCAGATATGAAACATACGCTTACAGGAGAGATTCTGAGGTCTAAGGCAATCGAAAAGTATTGCTGTACCTCACCTAGTAGAATTTCAAGATTATTCAAGCGTCGAGCTAAATCTGGATGGTCTTTAGGAGCAGCCTCTATGGCTTGTCGTTATTCGAATGTCTTCTTCTAGATCTGCTATAGCTCCTGTCCTCGAGAACGTGGCGTAGAGAAAACCTCTAAGCTTCTTTAACCGTAGAGCCTGGTCTGGATGGTCTTTAGGTGTGGTCTGGATAGCTTATTGCGTTAATCGAATAGCCTCTTCCACATCTTCCACGACTATTATCGTTAAAGACCTTTCGTTAAGTCGATTTCCAATGTTTTTTTTTCAATCTGTTACCGATTTAAGTTGCAAAATTTTGTAATATTGCATAGGTTTCGGTGGCGGTCTTGAAGATTTGTCGTTCCACTTTAATAGCCTCTGTCCTTAAAGACCTGGTACCGAGATAGTTTCTAAGACTGCTTAAGAATTGAGCCCGGTATGAATAGTCTTCAGGGGTACCTTTGATCGCTTGTCTTATCACTCGAATAGCCTCTTCCAGGTCTGCCCTGGCTCTCATCTTCGAGAACCTTTCTTTAAGTATGTTTCCGGCTGTATTTATTTGTCGAGCCCGGTTTGGATGGTCTTTAGGGGTAGCCCTTTCCGGGAGAAGCAGCAAATCAAATTTACATTTGAGAACAAAGCCGAAGCCGATCTGCACTTCACCGTCATAAAACTCAGCCCCCGGTTTGGTGTCGAGCAACTTTTCCCTTCGGTGGATTATCCAAAAACGGTACCGCCAGGCCAGCGTTTCTCGGTCTCGTTCTCCCTGACGATACCGGATGAGCTCAAACACGATAGTACAGACGTGAATCGAATACATTCCCGTGTGGGTGAGTGAAAACTGACCGTAATATAACGGGCTCACCAAGTGCACGTCTAATATACTTTCGTGCAAGTTGGATCCATCTGCCTGGGTTTTAGAGTAGATGGATGGTAGAGACTTCGGTTTCTGTCGAGTATGGAGCGGAGTACATTAATAAGCACCGTACGCAAACAGGCCACCGCGTCTGCAGCTCAGCGGCTGTTGATAGCTTGGGTGATATTGTCGTAGAGTGGTTCCCACCCCGACACATTCACGGAATTTGAAATTTCGGCTGTGCTGCCGTTCTATAACGCGGAAGAGGCCGTTGTCTCTACTGTCGTATGAGACAAAACTGCATTCCCACACTCGATACACCAGTGCTTTCGACCCAGATGGTGATCTTCTTGGCATACCCACTGAACACTCCAATGTTTTCTTGAATCCAGCGCAGCGCTAGGTGTTGGTCATACATGAGCAGCTCCGCAGTGTTGAGTACAAGGTCAGTTGGCCGGTCGCTACATATGTCTCCCAACCAGAACATTTATCGAGCTCGATGGGATGGTAAGAAAACTTTGAATGTTCTGGTTGGGAGACATATTTAGTGAAGAGTCAACTGACGTCACACTCAAGATGCGCCACGCCAGCATTGAGCACCTCATGGCTAAACAAGAATCCCATCAGCATCTGCAACCGGTACAGCAAACTTATTGCAATGATGGGCTGGTCCACCTTGGTCGAAAAACACATTATACCTCGAATCAAGGCCACCGCCCATGCGGCTTCCATCACCGTGGATCCATACGGCCAGATGGAGCTGGGCATGAGCCTGCACGCCGCTGGGACGGACGACGATGTTGAGCGTCAAACAATCTTCAGGGAAAGCATTGCCCTTTTGGAGTCACAACTCATTGACGTGCGGTTGCGTGTACGGTACACCTAGAAAATGACCATGCTTTTACCCAAGGCTGTACACGCCCTAATACGTGCCGGTTCATATCTGGACATTTGGAACGCCAGAACTCCCGTGGTCCGTGTACACAGTCTGAGAGAATTAGGAGCGGTGCGAATCCGGGAAAACGGGCGCTGTGAATTTTGCAAGTCGTTTTTCTAAACCGCTCCTTCAACAATTAGATGCGGAGGCGACATATTCTCGATTTCTTCGAAATCAAGCAAGACGATGCAAGACGAAACTAAAGTCGTATGTTCAATTTGAGATTAGCCAGTTACAATAGCTGTGGTCAGCAAGTAAAGCAAAACGTCACAAAACGCAAGGCGACCCTGAGGGAGCGTTGGTCATAACAAAATCATTCGATTAAAGATTGAAACATAACAAGCTTGAATCTAAAGTTCACCCAATCCGTCCGCGCCACCTTCTCCCCCTCATGTGCTAATATAGTACACCCCGTTCCTTCATTGTGAATGACAATACACCTCCGTCTAACGAAGTTTCTTAAGAAGCGCCTCCTTTTGAGCTAGGGGCATAGTTGATAATGCCTCCTTGACCGACTTGGCCCAATCATCCTCATCGCTGCCAATGAGACCGCGTGTTTGATCAGCAACGGCAGCCCTCTTGAGCGCCTTGACCTTACCCGTGACGAGCTCAGCCTTTTCCTCATACCAAGTAGCCACCTCCTTGTCGGCAGTCTCCCACTGTGCAATACCAGTCCAGGCGGACAGAAGTTGCTTGTTGTGAGAGCGCTGTTCCTCCAATTTGGCATCCGTCGAAAATGTCGACGACGTCATCGTGGCAGCGGCCATGCGCTTCAGAATGTAGTCTTCATTCAAACGTCTACGCACACGCCAGTAGAAGAATCTACGGGCGTTCTTCCATTCAATCTCCTGTCGAATGGTTCCTTTCGCCTTCATACGTCCCGCACGGTCATGGAGATCGGCGAATTGGATGCTGATCTGGGCATAAATTGGGAGCAGCTGCTTCTCGCGGGCCGTCATTTGGGCCTTGATGTCATCAAGCTGGTCCTTGGACAGGTTGGTGTCGGCAGCTTGCTTCTTGAGCGCAGCGTAGGTAGAGTCCATACGAGCCATGGTCTCAAGCTGCTTCTCCTTGCGGTACTTGATGCCAATAATGCCCTCGGGTTCAAGGACACCAGCGCGCGCCTCGACATCGGCGTACATCTCCATGCAGGCCGGGTTGATGGTAGGGTCAACGACGACCCAAGAACCGCCACGCAGCTCACCGAAGGGCGGGATGTAGACAAAAATGGGCTGGTCGAATTTTACCAGGGCGTCGACGATGTAGGAACCATACTTCAACACCTCGTTGTACATGTCGCGTTGACCACCCGAGAAACCTCTCCAGTTGGCCAGGATCATGAGAGGAAGATGTTCACCATAATTGAAGTCATTGATAGCTTGAGCAGTTTTAAAGGCCGAGTTGGGGTACCAAACGCCTCCAGCTTCGTTTGAGACCTGCTCGACCGAGTCTGGATTGGCAGGGTCGGCCGGCGTGACATTCTCTACGGTGCGCGTCTCTACAGCAATGACACCCATAGGAATGCCGCCCAGGCGAGCGCGGCCGACAACAACGGTACGAGCCCAACCGCCGAGCGTCTCAACGAATGAGTCCTTGTCGAAAAGGCCGGGTTGAAAGCCCTCCTCGTCTTGCTTGCCGCCGATGAGCCATCTGACATCATAAGGAGCCTTGCCAGGGGGGGTGTAGATGTTGTCACGATCCCAGCTGTCGACACTCGGGGTGATGGGCACCGGCATGCTGCGCGACGCGGGCACGAAGGACAGCCAGTCGACAATCTTGGACACGCCAGCGAAGTCGTCATTGGCAGTCATGTGCGAAACGCCATTACGGTACATGATCTGGGTGCCACCAAGCTGCAAGTTGGAAGTGTACACCTCACGACCTAACAGGTTATTGAGAGCGCCAGCGCCGGTGAGAATGATAGGTTGACCTTCAATCTGGACGGCACGTTGTCCCAGGCGGACAAGGTAGGCACCGATACCTGCAAGAGACAGTTAATTTGCTTGTCTTGCGTTAGAGTGGGCAATGGATGACATGGAACTTACCAATGGATCGGCAGGTTATTAAAGTGATGGTGAAAATATCATTGTACGCTCGACTTGTGGCACCAGCGATGAGACCAGAGCCTCTCAGACACTCGACACCAAGACCATCCTCGGCGCCAATGATGGCCGTTAGCTTGTATCGAGTCTCGCCGTCCTCGACGATCTCCTCAGTGATGACGTCACGACTGGCACCATCCTCGAACCTCTTCTTACCTTCGGCATCGAGGTAGAGGTACTTGAAGCCGGCCTCCTGCCTCGAGGGGTCGTTCCAGGCCACCTTGTAGTGAGGGATTAGCTCATCAGCTATACCCAGGCGGGCACCCGAGTTGGCCGATAGATAGATACGAGGAATGCCGAGAGCGCGAGCCTTTTCCGTACACTTATTGAAGAAGTGGTCCTCCTTGGGACCAAAGGAGCCAATCTTGTAAGTGATGTCGTTGGCAACAATGATGAATTTACGGCCATTCGGATACTCGGGAGTGCGGGCCTTGATCATCCAACCGACCATGCCACAGCTGTTGGTACCAGGTTCGCGGGCAACCTCTGTCAACTTGTCGGCATCGTCGAGGATAAGTTCGCTGTAGTCAATACACTCGCCCTGCGCCGGCTGCTTCTCGGCCAAGTTGGGTTGAGCCTTGACAGCCTTGGCCCAGCTATTCTGGATTGCCTGACGGAACAACTCTGGGAAGTCGTAGACGTACTGCGTACCCATCAAGTGAGCTTTGTATCGCTTCGGCTGGAGTGCGTTCTTGGCCGGGTAGGCGCTCGTGACGGGCAACAGGTGCATGGCGCCGATCTTGGTGGTGCCACCGATCGAGTGGAATACCATCTCACCCTTCTCAGACTTACGCTCAGCGTACATCTCCACCTGGACGACATAACCTGACGTGTTGGTGATAAGGACACGCAGAGGCATGGGCATGCCGGTGTTGGCGTCGGTGCAGATGATGCGAATCTCCACCTGAGCGACACGCAAACGCCAGGCACGGGGACCGAAACGGTCCAAGAAGCCCTGCAGGGAATGCTCAACCTCCTCAGGTCGGAGCTGGAATACCGGGGTAAAGTTGAGGAAGAGGTGGTTCAGGTCCGAGTTGTTGTTCCCAATAATCTCCAGGGCATCGAAGATGTCACTAACGACGCGGTCGGCTTCCGAAATGAGATATTCCGCAGTAGGGATCTCATCGCGAAGGCGGCCGGGGCGGATTACAGCACGCGTAAAATACCTCTTGTCCGTCTCGACTCCCTTGCCTACAGCCTCGTACACGTGGATATTCTTGTTCTCGGTGAACACAGGAGATGTCTTGAACTTAGACAGACGGCCCAGCTCAAGTTGGAAAGCCAAAGCTGGCTCGCTGTGGCGAATGCTGTCGTCCTCGGTGTACTCAGGGCCTCGGAACGTGTAATAACCCGGGTATGAACCATTCTTGCGTCCACAGATGAAGGTGAGGCGGCGCACGCGGCGGGCCACGAGCTCCTCTCGGTTCGAGTTAATCAGGGTCTTGATGCGGGCAAGAATATCCTTGTCATCGTCAGACTCGGCATCAGAGACAGCAACGTTGAGAACATTGGGGAGCTCGTCCGTGGTATCAGATCGTGCGACAAACTTGCGCTTGCCGGTCAAGTCCGGAATTAAGCTTGCCACCGCCTTCCTCCGGGGAAGGATTTCCAAAGCCTTGTGCAGCAACTCTTCGACGTCGTCAAGATAACGGCACGGAACAATGACGCCCTTGCGAGTAGGCTCCTCCTCGGTCTGAAGAGTCAAGTACGACATGTCGCTGAAGGAACTGATGCGCTTGAAGCCAAACTCTTGTGTGGGAGTGCCTGGCGCCGAAGGATACGTCGAGTTGGCCGGGATGCCAAATTCGGACTGGCCAATCTTTCGGAATGAAAAGTCCCACGACACAAAACAGGGCGAATCGGTCTCGTCGTTGTGGTAATGAACCTGCTTAAGGTTGTACGCACGGTACGCGCGACGGACGTACACCTCAAGTGCCGCAATCGAAATGTAAGGGTTCTCATGTCCAAAGAATAGGGACAGGACATCAAAGACGGTATACTTGGAGTCAACAACCTCCTTCAGAACATCCAGACTAGGCTCGCGGTGCTCCCAGCCTGATTCGCCGTACTTAGCTTCCATAACGGAAGCGCGGAGGATGTGACCCATCTGATCGATACGCTCCTCTAATGATGGGAGAGCACACTGGATCAGGATCTCGCGCGCTTTCAGAGCAACCTTAGCAGTCTGGCGCGATTCGAGCTCCGTTAGAAAGCGCAGCGCAGGTCTTAGGTGCTTGTTGATATTGCCAATGCCCGGTTGATTCGGTCGGTATCGATCGAGGATGGCAATGACCAAGTTGTTCTTGGACCCCACACGCGAGTGCGACAGAGTGACTTGAACGACCTTGAAGTAGTCATCCTTGTTCTCGTCACGAAGTTTCAGAATAACTTCCTCGTCTTGCGAGCGGTGGCCTGAGAAACGCTTCTCGACTTCGACGTACATGGTGAGCAGGGCCGTGATAGCCTTAAGTTCACGTGCCTTCTGGCCTTCACTGTAAGCCTCGATGACCTCGGTGAGGGGTGCAAGGGTGGCTCGCAAAATGTCCGCATCCGACGGAGACACGTTTTCGTCGACGAACTTGGTCAGTGTCTTCGCCAGCGACTTCGCGGGAAACTCGGTGCCACGGGCTTTGGCCTTGTCAACGACCTGCGTAAAGAGCGTATCAAGCTTCTGGGGCATGCGCGAGTGGAGTGCAGAGTGCTGAGAGTTCCACTCGCTGAAGGGGAGCTCGGGATCACGGAGAACCTTGATAGTCTCCTCGAGGGTCTCCTTCATGATGGCCGAATTGTCGAACCCGTTGAGAATGTTCTTTAATGTCGCATACAACATGTGGAAGCGCTGAGCAGGCTTGTTACCGATAACCTGGGGAGGACCAAATGCCGGGAGCTGGCCGAGGAAGGGCACTGCCTGCTTCACGCGCGACGGGTCGTCCAGTGCGAGTATGCCCAGAATGTCGCCAGCCTCAATAGTGACACCCGGCTGCTTGATCAGCTGAACGATGCCGTCCTCTTGCGCTATCAAAGGCATGAACATCTTCATCACTTCGACTTCGGCGAAGGTCTGACCAGCGCGGACGTGCTCGCCGTTCTCCACGGTATATTTGACTAGCTTGCCGGGGGACGGCGTTCGAAGCTGGGTTGGGTCGTTCTCCTGCTCCAGCAGGCAAGTCTTGCTATTGACGGACAAGCGGGTTGCGCCAACCTCCTCCTTCCAATAGACATTGTGGCTTTGTCCGTCGAGAAGGATGAGCAGACCTCCGTCAGATAAGGCACGGACGCCGACCGAGCATCGGGAACCGTTGATGAAGACGTGATAGCTATCCAGACTGGCACGAGTGGCGGTGAACTTGTAGCGAGTACCCTCGTAGATGAAGTCGATGCCAAAAACCGTCTTCAAGATATCTTTCGACGGGACTTGGCCTCTCAGGAGACCAGCACGGTACTCGGCAATACACTCTTCGCTCGCGATGTGAGCCTTGGTGACAGCACCGCAGACGACTGCCAGCATGGGGTCGGGGCGTTCGGCAGTTAGCTTCGTAGCGATGAGCTCATCAAGCCAGCCGGTGGTGATGGTGTTGTCCTCAAAAGCCTCCGTCTCAAGCAACTTGATCAGGTACTCAACGGTGGTTCTGAAGTCGCCACGAATGCTCAGCTCCTTCAGGGCGACAACCATGTGCTTGCGCGACGCCGCTCGGTTTTCTCCGTACGCGAAGATGTGACCGAATTGACTATCAGAGAAGCTGTGGATGCTCGAAGCGGTACTGACCGAGAAGTAGCCCCAAACATTGGCGCTACTTCGGAAGTTGAGGTCTTTCAGCACACCATTGGAAGGCTTGAAGCCCTCACCCGGGTCTTCCGATGTGATACGGCACGCGGTGCAGTGACCCTTTGGCGTGGGATGACGCTGAGTCTTCTCGCTTTGAGGTGACTTGAACTCAAAGTCGATCTCAGTGGCGGTCTTAGGGTCGACGCCGTACAGCAGTCGGATGTCACGGATTCGGTGCAACGGGATGCCCATGGCAACCTGAAGCTGGGCCACAGGCAAGTTTACACCACTGACCATTTCTGACGTCGGATGCTCCACCTGCAGACGAGGGTTGAGTTCCAGGAAGTAGAACTGATCGTCAGCGTGTGAGTATAGATACTCGACGGTACCAGCAGAGACGTAACCGACGAGCCGACCAAGTCGGACGGCAGCGTCTTCCATGGCCTTGAAAGTGGGCTGCTTGGCAATGGTTACGGGGGCCTCCTCAATGATCTTCTGGTGTCGACGCTGGACAGAACAATCTCTGCCGAAGAGAGAGATGTTATTGCCGTACTGATCAGCAAGAAGCTGCACTTCCAAATGTCTGGCATTTCCAGCCAGCTTCATGATGAAGATGGGAGAGCCGGGAATCTCACTTGCCGCCGCCTTGTACAGCTGCTCGAAACCCTCCTCGCTCGTGGCCTTTCGAATACCCTTGCCCCCACCTCCTTCAGATGCCTTGATCATGACGGGGAAGCCGATGTCCTTGGCCTTCTCCAGACCCTCTTGCCACGAGTTAACACAACCCTTCAGATAGACATCCTCAGCAACCGTAACAATGCCCTCGTTGTCGACCTCGACTTGGTCTACGCCGGTTCCAGACCACGGAATACAAGGCACTTGGGCGTGCTGGGCGACAATGGTGGAGGAGATCTTGTCACCGAGGGAACGCATGGCAGAGCCGGGGGGTCCGATGAAGACAATCTTCTTGGGCGAGGCTGCCAGAGACTCGGGAAGCTTGGGGTTTTCGGAAGCGTGACCCCTGCACATGTCAGCGCGGTTTCCTCTCAATCGAGCAGTTTTTGGGGGGCAAAACTTACCAGCCTGCCCATACGGCGTGGACATTCATACGCTCCGCAATGTCGACGATCAGCTCAACGTTGGCATAGTTATTGTTGTTTGTGCCACCAGGCACCTCGACGTAGTGGTCTGCCATTCTGATGTAATCGGCATTGGCTGCCAGATCTTCAGGTGTGGCCATGGCAGTGAACTGGATGGCCTTCTCGTCGCCAAACGTCTCGTACGCCCACTTCCGTACTGATCGAATCTCTTTGACGGCGGCAATACCATTGTTGGCAATTAGGATCTTGTCGTATGTGACGTCAGAACCTGGCAGTTTCCCGGCACCTTGGGACATTCGGACTTACGTTTGTGATGACGGTGTGGCCATCGTGAGCTGCCACGAACTCTTTAATCTTGGACGACGGTGCATTCTCGAGCTTGTTGCCTCCGATGAAGTGGTCGGCGATTCTGTGCTTCTCGGCATATGAGGCCTTGCCGTTGGAGACGGGCACCGTGCGGCTGCCGTTGGCTGGCCCATGACCGTTAGTCGTAGCCATGCTGGCGGCTGACTCAGCGCAGGTCTGACGAGGGGATGTGGGTTGAGTAGTTGGACGGAAGAGGACGTCTATCGGCACATCAAAGTATAGTTGCTGCCTCAGGCGAATTCCCAAGAGTCCTGGCAAGCAAGCAGTGGTGGATTTCGGAAGAGTTGAGTGCAATTAGAAGTGTGTATGGTGGTCGGAGAAAAGAGTTGTGGGTTCGAGGGGAGGGATGTCGTCAGTCGGGGGGTTTTCGGAAGAAGAGGTGCCCGCTGACGCCTGGGGCTCTAGTTGCGGAAGGAACAAGTCGCAGGTCTCTTAAACGTGGAAATATCTGTAGAAGGAGTTTGTCAGTCGCTGCCAGGGACGGGTGTGCCGTGTTCAATGCAGAGCATATATGGGAGGTTGCGATCAAGATTCGTAGATAAGGTTTGGCAGGCACGCCCGCACGTCTCCGCTTTATGTTGAGAGACGACGAACCACTTCGATGGGAAAGAGCGAGCTCTACTTACACACAGCAAGTGAATGCGAGTTTCTTTCCAGAATATCCACAAACTTGGACGTGATGTCAAAGATGAACTAGAAGACAGCAAGTGAAGCGAGGCAGCGACAGACTGCAATTGTGGTGGGAATGTGGTTTTCCGCGAGGGAAGAGTAAGGAATTAGAACGAAAAGACGAATGCCACAATGGGGTCTTGCGAAGTTGATATGATTTAATTATGGCCGTGATCGACGCACTACAGCGACCACCAGACAGGTATATCGCTGACACCACAACTGGGCTACCCCCATGCTGCCCCCATGAAGGTTGATTTCGGAATTCAAAAGTCATAAATCATTGGGCCGTGGTGCATCGTCCATCCAATGGCAGCCTGCGCCGGGGTGTTGGGGAGATCCCATCGAAGTGTGTGCGTCCTGGTCCATTCCGCTCAGACGGGTGTGTGTGGTTCAGAGCCAAGCCAGCAAAAAAACAAGAACGTCAGAGCGCAGCCATTCATCAAAATGCAGAAAACCAAAAAGTCAATATATTTTTTTTTAACCCCGGTGCGATGCCCGCAGGTGTCGCATCATCAAGACCATATTCGCTTTACTGCACCGTAGTCTCTGTCCGCCCAATGCATCCACATCCTCACTCATATTTGTCAGATGCACGTCGTTCTGAAATACTGACATATTTGTCAGATACATGATACCTTCCCCTTCCGGGTGTCATCAAATCGCGGCAGGGCTAGAGCTGATGACGAAGCTCTCCAAAAGCTCAACACAAGTCGACTCAAAGAGGACTAGCTCATCTTGGGGACAGAACCAAATTGAGTTCTTCGACCGTACCCTTCTGCTTATGCCCCAAAAGCCCAAAGCACCACCTGCATGCGCTGAAAACATCTGAAAATATTTGTTGGTCGAGTCTGCGCTGCGGCCATCGCACTGTAGCTTCAACGTGACGTTCTTGTTGAATTGTTCTACTACAACATATATGCAACAAGCATATTATCGCGAAGGTGGGAACTAGAGGTACTTTACCCAGGTCTTGGCCCCCTTTGGCCCGCGAACTCAATTGTTGGCTGTTGGGGCCGCACCCGATACGGCCCCGGTTTATTACATATGTAGGGTCTAGCGACCCGTCTGCACCTCATGCCGAGCTTTAGAATTGCATGGCCTAGCGCGGGGCTGGCTTCTGGGGCAGTCGGGGTTTGGCTCGGGCTGCCAAACTTCGGCCCAATCTCGTTCACAAAAAAGTGTCGTGCTCAAAGACCCCCTGCTGGGCACTAGCTTTGATGGCCACCAATGCGCTCCTCTCCACCCGCAAATCCCCAACATCTTGTCCGCGCTCCGCTCGAGTCACAACCTTCATACGCCCCCCGTTCCTCGTAGTGCCATAGTGGTCGACGCCCCTGTCGCTCAAAATATTCGAAATCACTAAATCCGGGAGATTGCATGTTGCCTGTTGGGGAACTTCTGGGGGTACTTCCGTCTCGTCTCTAGACTGCAGCGGTTGTGAAGACGCAAGAAGCTTTTGACCGTTAGGATTGAATTTACCCACGCACAACTTAGATATGTACCCCAGTCTGCAAGGCAACTCGGCCATGTCCCCTTCACGGCATGTCACACCTCAACGCCTGAGGATGAATATATCCAATCCATGGTCTCAGTAGCACTGGACATCTCCAGTTCTCTTGCTTATTGCCCGACCCCAAGCATAGCCCGGAACTAAAGGTTAGCCAACGGAAGGTCTTGGCAATGGCTCCGTCGGGCTTATGCTGCAGGTACTCGAGCTTGTGCCGAACATTGGGTTTCCTAACTCCGCGTCTCCGTCTCTTCATCCGCCGCCGTCTCATCGTCTAACACTTTGCTCCTTGACGGGCATATCTAGATGCGAGCATCTGGCTGCTACCGTTTTACAGGGGCAAAGCGCTTAAGTCGCGATTGCGTGTCGCTCAACTGCAGCGTCTCTGTGGCTCTGCTTGCGTTCGGAAAGTCTCGAAGTCGTTCTTCGAGCTCGAGCCAGCCCGAGACAAAGCTTCGACTACTAATGCTCTGATCGGTAACGCACGTGTCCATGTAGGCCTCTGATCTAATCAGAAATGGCGCGAAGCGGCGAAGCGGGAGCAGGGCTGGCACAGGTAGGTCAGTAACCCAAATTGAGGTTTCGGGGTTGCAACATCATACGATTTCGCATTTCTGTGGGACTGTAGGGCTGGCCAGGCTGCTTCGGCTGCTCCCGTGTTGTCCCTCACAAACCACACGCAAGAAGCGCCGAAATGGTGTGCAGATTCACAATCTCTCGGCAGAGACAGGTTTCGAGTGAGCAAGTACAATGTAGTAGAGATCACCACTTTTTCGGCTGGGGCCCCTGACTTGGCCATGACAGATTGCTTAAATAAACTACATCCAAGCAGGTGCAAGTGGCGACGAGTATCACAGAGCAGAGGCTGTCAGGAACAATCATCCGGGGAGAATGATCAAGGCAGATTTTGAGGAGTTGACCAGCCAGGTCATGAATTGAGGCTGGCGGATCATGATATTCAACTTAATTTGTTTAGGCGTTGGATTACCGATTAGCATCATTATTTACATTATACACCCTTGCTTACCCAGCATTTGGGACTTAGCAGGTGATTATTTCCGTGGACTGCCTAGAGTAGCAAATATCCAGGCAATCCGGGCAGTGTACAAGTCGAAAAGAATTCCAGTTCAAGAAGTGGGTAGTGTTCTGCACAAAGGGAATGTGACCGCCGTGGGTCTGTATTACTCGGTACTAGCTAAACAAGTACTCCGTCTCCGTCTCCGTCTACTTCTTGTTCTTGTCCCACCCTCGGGCGTATCATCGAGTCCGATATACATATACAGTCTTCTTCCCCAATCTCCACCTCTCCATGCCTTTCTCTTCCTTGATACTCGAAAAAAAAAGAAGGCCAAACGTCCGGCATGTGACGTTCACACTTGAAGAAGTTCTGATTCCAAAAAAGGGTTCCCTTCCAACACCAGTCATGACTCCGTAAACAGGCAATCCAGAAGGCTATGATGATGCTGATGATGATGTGCCATCAACTCCGACCTTGATCCGTTCCGTCCGCACGGGGCAGAAGCTGTGATCATGAAAGCACGATAAAAAGGGACGATATGCCAACTCCGTAACCATAAGCATCGTGAGCGCCGAGGCGCCTTTCTCATCTTCGACTCCGCCCTGCTCTACCTTTTCCCTGCAAGAGGCGGAGAGGACTTGACTTCTAGTAAGTTTCTCCCAAGTCTGCCAGCTTCCTGGTACCACTTGTCCTGCTAGGGGTAGCCGAAGCTCGACCTGAGCTGCCTCCCACTTCGCCGCTCTGTCGCCGGCCCGGCATCGGTATGCCACTAGCTCCGTCGCCTTCGCGGTCGTACTTTCTGTAGGCACTCCTTCTGCTTGGCGTGCGTCCATACTCGCCCTCTTCGGTTTCGTCGAATTCGATGCGGCTGCTGATACTTCGAGAGTGTCCGTGACCATGCACAGAAGAGTTCAAGCCACCACCCAGACTGCTCCGCGGTCGGATACCCAGCGGAGTCCTGGCGCCCGTCAGCGAAGCCCTGCTCATTGGTCTTGCAATTTCGCTGCGTGATGCCGGTCCCTCCGGTCTCGCAAATGTCCCATGTCCAGCGGTAGACGACACACTAGCTCGACTACTAGGACGAGAGATGACTGCTGAGCTCGAATCCGGATCGTATGTGCCGTTCCTATTGGGTAGAGGCCCGAAGGATAGCCTTGACACACCCGAAGTACTAAGTCGGGGGACGTGGCTTTGCTTGCTCTCCCTCCCTGTGTTCTGCATGGGCGTATCTTCGGCGACGGCCGAGGAGGTCGAAGACCCCACGGTACGTTTTCGACTTCGAATCGTGACATTGGCGGGCATAGCTCCGCCACCGAGGACGGACGAGCGCGGGGAGGCACGTGGTGGTGTGTTGACGGGGGCGGGCAGCTTGGAGCGCGCAGATTGGACGCGAGCTTCGAGGCGTTGCATTTGTGCCGTGAGACTACGGATGTGGGTGAGAGATGTAGAAGGCGGGATCTTGTGTGATATGGCACGTGCATTTGTGGTTGTGGTCCGAGTCGGTGCCGGAGTACGGGTCTGGGTGGCGGCGCGTGCTCGAGGTGGGGGACGCATGGAGGTGGACGACGAGAAAGATTGTTGGGTGGAAGTACGCGGTCTGGGCGTCACACTCTTGTCGGCGGGGGATGGGAGGCGGGATCTCTTGGACGCCGAAGGCGCGGGTGTTCGGAGCCTGCCGGCCGGTTTCGGCAGCGTGGTTGATGCGTCGGACATGGGCGGTGATGGTGGCTCGTCAGAGGCGTGAACGCCCTTTCTCGGTGGCGGCAGGGCCACATCGTCGGGTGGCGTACTGATCATGGGGCTGCTAGCCGTCGAGCGCGGCGAGTTCTCAAAGCTGGGCGATTCGGGGTTGGACACGCTCAAGTCAGTGGAGATGGTGGATACGTGCAGGTTGCGGCTCTCGGCCTTCTTGATCTTGTCCTGCAGAATCTCGGCCTCGATCTTAAGGTCGCTGAGCTCCTCGCGCAGGCGCTGGGACTCGATGCGCAGCTGCTCACGCTCCTGTTCGCCGATCTTGATCTCCTCCTCCATCATGACACTGCGCTCGAGGGCCATATTGTACTTGGACTCCATGTCCTCGAGGGACGACGTAGTGTTGCGGGCCTGGCGCTCGAAGTCATCGTTGGCCACCTCGATGTCGCGTAGTTTGAGTTGCAGGGTGCGGTTGCTGTCGCGGAGGGTCGTAATCTCCTTCTCCAATGCGTTCTGCGCCGCGTTTGCCTCGATCTTGGCCTTTTTGCATTTCTCCTGGTGACAGATGCCTTGTTAGCGTCCGTTGTGTACGAGCCTGTTCTTCCTTGGCTGTTATGGCCAAGCCACGAGAGTGACAGTAGTGATGCTGCTCACCTTCCACTCGTCGGCCTCGAACTGCAGCCCCTCCGCCCTCTGTTGCAGCGTGCGCTCGCGCTTATCAGCTGCCTCGAGGTCTTTCTCGAGCTCGGCCTCTAACTCGTGGCTGGACTCTCGAAAGTCGGCCAGCTCCAGCGCAAGCTGCTCATACTGACTCTTGTACCACGCGAGCGACTCCTCGGGGGTCGCGTCGGGATTGGGCGGCGAAGACGGTGGCTCGGCCATGGTTGATGAAGCTTATTCAAAAGAACATCGGTCGCATCGGTCGGCGGGGTTGGGGTTGGGCGCCTGGGTCACGTCGGAGATTAAAAAACAAAGTGGAAAAAGTATCGAAAGCGAAATGGCGATTGTGGCGATGGCGTCGAATGTCGAGGAAGAATGTTTAAAGATAGAAAAGAATCGAAGTAGTGGCCGGAAGATTTGTTGCTTCACCCTGGTGGAAGTCAGTACTGCTGGGTACCCTGCCACCGCTGCCGCCTGTCGCGTCGGCCTGGAAAGGAAGGGGAAGCCATACAGGAAAGAAAACAGCTGCGCAGATTGCTCCTGCCAAGACAACGAGTCGCAGGAGTCTTGGTGTTTTCGCCGTATCGCGCGGGATGCGAAGCGGCTTCCTACGAAGTACCTGGATTTGGGTCGTGTGTTCGTCGTCGTGTGTTGTCGTCGTCGTGTGTCGTCGGCGTGTCGGTTGCTGCTTGCCGTTGCAGGTCGTCGAGGCTGATCGAGGGTGTTGTCGACTTACCGTGTCGCTTTTTGTCGTCTTCGTAGTCGTCGTCGTCGTCGCCGGAGGGGCTGGCGGGATTCGTGGGTTGTCGATTGTTTCCCCTGCCCTGCTACTAGCCCTCTGGTGTGTTTCTTGTTGTTGGCAGCCGTTTGATGTGCCTCTCCCCTTAGGGGCGGCACAACGCTAGTCCCGAAGGAGTCAAACTGGTGCCATGGGCAACCTCGTCTGCTGGTTCGACCCAACCAAACAACGCCAAAATTGCTCGTGCTTTTTGCTTGAGAATGAGCGATAAGCATGCATCCAACCAGGCCAGTCACTACGTCGCGGTTGAGGCAACTGCATGCATTTGATTGTATACCCTGGCGCTGATTGCCAACATGTGATTTTGGCACTTGTGGCTGTCGGTACTATGTCGCAGATGCCTTCTCCTAGAAATCACCAGAATATCATGATATGAAGACCCCATCATTACTGTTACATTTTCTCCAGTTTGATCTGCCTTCCCGATATACCTCAACCCTGTCTATTTGTTGAATGTCTAGATTGACGAGAGTTTCGTTTCGACGTCAATGCACCAAGACCTGTTCTTTGTTTCTTGTAGAAGCTTTTCCAAGCTTTGTCTATAATACCTTAAACACATAACTAATCGAATATCATTTCATCTCATTCGATTCGGTTCTTACGACGCTAGCGACTCAGCACGAGCTGAATTTAAGTACATCTTAATTTACTATCCAAGATTTTTATACGTGGTATTACTTACAACGGCTTGTATGCATCCGGAAATAACAGCCCTGATGTTGGATTACAGCCATTGTACAAGCCATACACACAACCACATCGGAGGAATAACTACCCGTTTATACATAGGGTCACGCTAACAGTTAATCAGCTGTGACAGAACATAGACATAGACATCAATTAATCCCTTTTTTTTGAATGTCGTTTATTATACTGTCCTATGGAAGCCCACGGCTTGTAAAGACCGTAGGTCCGACTACCAGAGGTAAAGCAGGCTAAACTATCCAATCCTACATTTAAGTACAAACTTGTACTGCCAATTTATATCCTCCGTAACTATTATTTTCCTCTCGCACTCTCAGCTTTCAGAACTTAACACGGAGGCTAAATTTAACAGCGATGTAGGACTGTGGATTCTTTTTAGTAGGACGCCCAACTCTGCTAAATTCTTTCCCTATCACCTTCGCAGTAGGGATGCATGGTCTTTATAACGGCCGCCGGAATTCGAACCAACCCAGACTAATGTCTGGGTTACAACGGCTTATGCACTAGCTATGCTTAGGGCTATTGTCGTATTACACGTGTATCTGATCAATAGTAGGGGTTCAAGTGATTGATTGATATATCTCGTTGTCTTCTGTTACAGTTGACTAACTGCTAGTGTGACCTTGTGTAGGGAGGGGTAATCGTTCCTCCTATGTGGCTGTGTGTGTGGCTTGTGCAGTGGCTGTGATCCAACATACCGAACCCCCCACCCCAACCCCACCCAACAGATGACTTGCTGGAAGCATATTCTCTGATAGCATGTTTTCTGATAATAGACTTGTTCATCCTGTTGGAAATCATCATCCATTAATTCCTTCATTTTCCTTGCCTGTAGCTATTCTGAGATGTCAGAGGTGGTACCTGCGCAGCCACCACTACTTATTTCCAGACCAACAACACTAGCCTAGCTTTCTTTCCTCACCACAATACATCACTTCTATTGTGTGTCCCTCAACATGAGATGTCTTTCAAGCTAATCTGTTCCACGAATCCATCGAATTGTACCCTTTGTAGTGCTTTGGTTAATCCGTTAGCTACCATGACGGCTGTCGGAGTATATTCCACCTTGATCCTCCGCGTCTGGTGTTCTTGCCAGTAACCAGTGATTATGTATATCGAAGTGGTGGAGTCGGGTCTGCAGTCAAGAGACGAAGAGAGACTCTTTGGCCGTGTTGGACCAAATTGACCGTCAAAAGACGAGGGACCCCACTCGCTGTAGAATGAGGTATTTTGGTAGTTATAAGGTCTGACACACCCCCTCAGCTTGGAGAGATATCGTCAAGTTGTAGTAGCATCTGGCTTGTGTCGTTGGTTGGCCTCGTTGGCCGTCGTACATCTTTTCATCTACGGTGTCTGCAGGGTCTTGAACATCTTTTTTATTGTCCGCCCCTCTACCTTGAGTATGAATTCTGCAATAAAACTCTTATTTTTTGACGCGGTTTGGCTACGTCTCGAACCATTGCCGATGATCTTATGCGGAATTGGAGGACTGATAATACCCGAGAAAGTCTTGCAGTCTTAAGACGCAAACCCGGGCTCATAACTGTTGGACCAAATTGACCGTCAAAAGACGAGGGACCCACTCGCTGTAGAATGAGGTATTTTTTGGTAGTTATAAGGTCTGACAGGCCGCCTGTGCTAGAGCTAACAATTCTGACTCCGTGGTTGAAGTTGTTATGGTATCCTGCTTAGTGGCCCGCTAGCTGATTGTACCCCGAAGACCCTTGTAGCGTATGCGTGAGAGCTTTTTTGGTCTAGTGTGTTGTCGGTAAATGATGGGGGTGTCTTCTCCGAACTGGAGTGCGAGGGATTCGGTCGATAATAGGCACTCGATGAGTCGTATCGCGGTAGCATAATGTAATGGACTAGGGTTCATGTTGATTCTAGAGAACCTTGAGATTGCGAGGGCTATGTCTAGCCTCGTGATTACGGCTGCGTAGAGTAGTGATCCGGTCCGTCGTTGGTATTTATTAACGGACGCCACTTCGGCACTGTCGGTGTAGGGCAGGAGCTCTGCTAATCCTATCGGCGTTGTCTGTTTCCTCTATTGTTTCTTGTGTAGGAGATTAGTTAGCTTATTTATACATAAGATCTGAGATAGCTAGATCAATCGGTTGCCGCGATCTCGGATGACCTCGATACCTAGGAACTATTAAAGGTCTTATCCTCCGTTCAACTTGAAGGTCTCCTGGATCTAGTGTATGACGTGATTAGCACTCCATTATACGAGAAGTAATATCGCTCACAGGGCACTAGTTGAAAGCCTAGCTGCTCTATAGTCCGCGTAAATATCCTCTGCTACAGTAGTGGTGACTCCCTTAAGCCGTAGAGTGCCCTACTTAACTGCAGTCTAGTGCTCTGCTGCTCCGATATATGGGCACTGGTTACATATGTAAGGGAAGTATCTTGGAGGAAGATAGGAAGACGGTTAGAGATCAATAAATTACTCGGGGCACCCTTACCTGAGACCGCCAGTGATCACCCGGTGCTAAGCAGGAGGGACGCCTATAACACCCCTTCACTCTGCAATATTGCCTTCGACCTAGCCGTACCATCAAAGCTTATCGAATTTATATATGTATCTATATGATACGAAAAGGTAGGGGGACCCACTGGTTAGGTGAATCCCATTCAATTAGATTCTATAACGTTGCGCACTGCTGCATTATAGCATCCTCCCCCCTAGATGCACGCATCAAGTGCCGGGGTCTGGTCAATTGAAACCATTGTCCTCAATGGGCTTATCGCTCACAGGTCTTATTGCCAGAGTAGGTCCGTAATCCTCCCCAAGTGGTTTGGTGCTTCCGCCGGGAATTGAACCCGGTACTATCCCTATAGTGGTCTGTTCGTCAGGGCGCGACAGCCATTCGCTGGATACGGTGCGGACTTGGTGGCCATGAGTCCTAAACCCTACCAAATTGACCATGCGACCGTTTGACCAAACAACGGAAGAGATGCTACCATCCACCATCAACCCACCGGGGACCAAATTAGCAGCACCTACACTATAATTACTTCAACTTCAATTATACGGATCTTAATAGAAATTGAAGCTATTTACAAGCCGATTGCACGAATAAATAGCGAATTGAATAGAATTTTCAATTTAGCATTTTTAGAAAGGTTACACGATACTCCACACCGGTACTACGGAGTTCCGGCAGCCGTAAAATTCTGATTCTACTACTTTTGAGGCCACGATGCCCCTTTGACTATTATTCTATAAGTACTACGCTTCAGTACACCAAAATGCCGCGCCGTAGCTGGACAGAGGACCAGATAGTTGAGGCTATTCTAGATGTTACCGATAATGGCCTGTCGCAGTACAAATCCGCCCAGAAGCATGGAGTGCCGCAGCAGACCCTTTCCGACAGAATCAAAGGCAAAGGGTGGCCAGACAACCCTATACCGACCAGCAAGCGGGTTCCTATAGCCCAAGAAAGCCGTATAGTCGACTGGATCATCAGACAAGAGTCCTTGGGATATGCCCCTATGCACAATCACGTACGCGCTTGCGTTTCTACACTTCTGGCTCAACAGGGGGATACCAACGAATTAGGGAATAATTGGCTTAACCGACTTGTCTCTAGACATCCAGAAATTCGTACCAAGATGGGTAGAAAGCAGGAGACAGCTCGATTCAACTCGTTTACACCAAAAGCCGTACATTAGTACTTTGATATCTGTGAGAGAGAATACGGCTGGATTAAGCCAGAAA